CAGTCCTTCCCAAAGAGGGCATCCAGAGTTCCCTGGAGGCTGCAGACACCAGCCTCCCCCCCCCTACATCCCCATCGGCTCCTGCAGGGAACTGCGTGGTACTGAAGCCATCAGAGGTAAGCAAGAACACAGAGAAGGTGCTGGCTGAGCTGCTGCCCCAGTATCTGGACCAGGTGTGTATGGCTCTGCCTGTCAGCATCCCCACACCCGTGTCCAGGTCAGTGGGGAAGTCCCTGCTGTCCTCCGGTGTGTCCTCTAAGCTGTCATCTGGCCTTGCAGAGCTGTTTTGCTGTGGTGCTGGGTGGGCCCGAGGAGACCGGGCAGCTGCTGACACACAGATTTGACTATATCTTCTTCACGGGTGAGAATGGCCCCGGCCAGGATCCTGGGGTGGGGGACAGCAGTGTGAAGGCATTGAGGGACAAGGCCATAGGCCAGGACAGGGAACTAATCAAGAGGTGGTGGTGTCCCTGAGGGTGGCTGTCCAGGCCCTCTGAGAATCTTGGAGACTGGATCCTGGGTGGTCAGATAGGTGGAACAGTCTAGAACTTGACCTGAGAAAGCTTTCTGTGGAGAGGGGATGCCTAGACCAGTTGTCCAGGTGAAGGTAGTGTCTCTTGACCATGTCCTCAGGGAGTCCTCGTGTTGGCAAGATCGTGATGGCCGCTGCTGCCAAACACCTGACGCCCATCACCCTGGAGCTGGGGGGTAAGAACCCCTGCTTTGTGGATGACAACTGTGACCCCCAGACTGTAGCCAACCGTGTGGCCTGGTTCCGCTACTTCAATGCTGGACAGACCTGTGTGGCCCCCGATTACATCCTTTGTAGCCAGGAGATGCAGGAGCAGCTGGTGCCTGCCCTGCAGAATGCGATCACACGTTTCTATGGAGATAACCCACAGACCTCCCCTGACCTGGGCAGAATCATCAATCAGAAACATTTCAAGCGGCTCCAGGGATTGCTGGGCTGTGGCCGTGTGGCCATTGGTGGCCAGAGTGATGAGGGAGAGCGCTACATTGGTGAGTCTCTTGCACCCATCACTGGTTCCCAGCTCAGCTGGGCTGACCTTTCGTATGGAAGAGGGCTGTGCTGGACCCTGCACATGAGCTTCAACACAAGCTCGTGGATCCTTAAGTTCACCGCTCTGGTGCTTTAACTGTGGCTGAGCTGGTGACTCCTAAATTCCAACCTTAGGCGCCACAGCTTTAGACTTAATGAGTTGGGACCCAGTTTTATGGGCTTAAACCTCCATTTTCTTTTCATTGCCCCAGGTCCCTAGACACTCAGACACTGGAGTCCTGAGAGGTCAGATCCTCACACTCTCCATTCTGGAGCCTTGTTTCCATCAAGCCCTGACAAGTGACACCGTGTCTTCCTCTGTCTGCAGCACCCACGGTGCTGGTAGACGTGCAGGAATCAGAGCCAGTGATGCAGGAGGAGATCTTCGGGCCCATCCTGCCCTTGGTGACGGTGAGAAGCCTGGATGAGGCCATCGATTTTATTAACCAGCGAGAGAAGCCACTAGCCTTGTATGCCTTCTCCAACAATGACCAGGTGGGGCCTGCCATGGCTGGAGTAGCCACACCTCCTGCTTGGGGCTTTAGACACATGCTACAAGTTTTAGCAAACCAAGCTGGTTCCGTTGAATACTGCACAGACACCTGAGTGTAGGATACAGGCATGGCCACAGGTGCCAGGTCTATGGCTGGCCAGCTGTCTGTCCTAGCTGGGGCAGCTTCCACTTGCAGTAAGGGGTGTATTAGGGTGTCCCTTCCCCCATTCTGAGCTGTGCAAAGTTCTTCATAAACCAAGTTCCTGTGGGATTGAAGGCCAATACTGACCAGGACCGCATGGGCAGAGCCTGGCTGGTTACAGTGGGGGTCCACCACACCCTCACAAAGTTGTAACCTCCTCATGGTCATGGTTATGGGTGTGGACCTGTGCCCTATCTATCCCAGAGGTACGTCCCCAGTGGATGCTTATAATAAGGGCTGCTTAGTGGAGAGGAGCTGGGAGAGGCAATGCAGGGGTGAGAACTCTTTGTTCCCTCAGTGGGACTGTCAGGGCTCAGCCCTGTCCCATGCACTTCTGCCTCTCTCAGGTGGTGAATCAGATGTTGGAGCGTACCAGCAGTGGTGGCTTTGGAGGCAATGATGGTTTCCTCTACCTGACTCTACCCACCCTGCCTCTGGGGGGAGTTGGTGAGTTCCTGGCCCCCTCCATAACCCAGCCCCAACCCTAGAATGTCCTTTGCTTTTCATTCCACCTGGATGCAGGTCTTAGGGCCTTGGTGTTCCTACCTGTAAAATGGTCATTTGATTGCCCTGCCTTTCTGTGTTCCCTCACAAGCTTTGGGCTTCTGGCCCAGGCAGGTGGCTGCTACCCAGACTGGCAAGCAGGACTGCACAGGTGCTGTCCTCACACTCACTCTGTGTCCTTGCAGGCAACAGTGGAATTGGCAGGTACCACGGCAAGTTCTCCTTTGATACCTTTTCCCATCAGCGTGCCTGTCTGCTGCGCAGCCCCGGGATGGAAAAGCTTAATGACCTCCGTTACCCACCTTATGGTCCCTGGAACCAGAAGTTGCTGAGCTGGGCCATGGGTTCCCAGAGCTGCATCCTCCTATAAGCATCACCTTGACCCCTCCCTGCTGCCCAGACCCTGACCTTCCTGAGATTTTCAGCTGCCCCCACATCCCCAGTGGTTCCCAAAAGGCCTGTGAACACCCCACTTCTGGAACTTTTTCTGAACAGACCTGAAGCCAGGCAGGACCTCCAGGTGGCTGGTCCAGTCCCTTCCTGAGCACAGCCCCCTCAGAAGCCTCCTGACCCTCTGCCTAGGCAGGTCTGCTGACAGAGAAGCCCCCTCCCCAAGGTTGGGCCGATCTGGTGGCTGAGGAGGACTTTCTTTGTCAGAACATAGACAGGGTCCCAAAAGACAGAGCAGAGGCTCACAGCTCCATCCACATCTGAGGGTTGCTTTGTCCCATCTGAAGTGACATGATCTTGAGCCCGTATCAGATTAATTGGTGGAATCTGCCTGGAGTGTGTTCACTAGTTACCTTTCTGTTGCTTTGATCAAATGACCTGACATAGGCAAATTTAAGGGGGAAATATTTTCTCATGGCTCATGGTTTCAGAGAGCTCTATTCCCCGTGACTCAGCAAACATGAAAGAATATAGCAGTTCATAGGATGGCAGGCCAGGAAACATCATGAATAAGAAGAAAAGCATGATTGATTAGTCATGGTTGCTCTGGGCCCAGGCAGAGGTGTGTCCATGTTTTGGCTATATATCCACTCCTAGAAAGAGGTAAAATATGAAATTAGAGACTTGGGGTTAAAAATATCTCAGTGGTTAGGAACACTGGCTTCCAGAGGACTGGGTTCAGCACCCAGCACCCACATAGGCGCTTACAACCATCTGTAACACCCTCTTCTGGCCTTAGCAGGTACCAGGCACACATATGATATCCAGACATACTCATAGGCAAAACACTAAGACACAGAAAATAAAATAAAATAAAATAATGGAGACTTGGAACTGGATGTGGTGGCACTCAACTTTAATCCCAGAATTTAGGAGGCAGAGACATGTGGATATTTATGATTTTTTAAAAGATTTTATTTATTTATTATGTATACAGTGTTCTGTCTGCATGTATGCCTGCAGGTCAGAAGAGGGAACCAGATCTCATTACAGATGGCTGGGAGCCACCATGTGGTTGCTTGGAATTGAACTCAGGACCTCTGGATGAGCAGTCAGTGCTCTTAACCTCTGAGCCATCTCTCCAGCCCTATTTATGATTTTTGAAACGTTAACTTGGGCTATATAGTGAGTTCCAGGAAGTCAGGGGTATATAGAGACCCTATCTCAAACAAACAAACAAACAAACAAAAGAACTGGAGACTTCATCTGAGTATGAGAAACTGAGACCTTGCGTCAAGACAGGGTTGAACTGAGTTCATAGAGGAAAGCAGGACTAGAGTGAGAGACACTGGGCTCTGTTGAGGATCATGGGGCTGAAGGCTGGGTAGACAGCGTGCCTGGTCCTGGTTCCTTTCCTTGTTCTTCCCCAATCCCACCGCACCCTGGCTGCAGAGTCACTTCCAGTTCCCAGCCTGGGCCTGCTGGCTCCTCATCCTCAGAGTCACAGGGAGCCTGAGCTAGTGGATGAAGGAGGGGAACGGATGGTTGTGTGGATGGTGGCTGGCCGGATGAGGTGGGTGGATGGAGGGATGGGCAAGACTGATGAGTCTCTGAATGGGGCAGGTGAGTAGCAGCCTTGGGAGCTACCCTGGGGCTCCAGTGGGTCATGGTGAAATCTAGCCGTAGGTGCTGGGTCCACAGTGGTCATTAGCCTCAACCTAGAGTGACCATAAGAAAATCAACAACACAGGTGACTCATCCTTCCTGGCCCAAACGAGGACATCAGGTTAGCAAGACTCCTTCAGGAGAGCGCTGGAGTGGGAGCCGGAGAGAGACAGAGCAGCAGGACCCCAGGCCTGAAGTGAAATTGGGCTTTTGGAGGCCAAGTCGGGGTAGGGTGGACTCAGGTGGGGGCATATCTGTGTGCGGCCGTAGTAAGGGACCTCATGCCCTTGTGTGGGCTGCACCGGTTAGTGTTTTGACAACTTAACACAAGCCAGAGCCATATGGAGAAGGGAACCTCAATTGAGAAAATGTCCCCAACAGATTGGCCTGCAGGCAAGTCCATGGGTCATCTTCTTGATTAATGAGTGACGTGGGAGGGTCCACCCACTATGGCAGTCAGTCCGGGGATACGAAAGGAAGAAGGCTGAACGAGCCCTGGGGAACAAGTCAGTACCCGGTGCCCCTTCATGGCCGCTGTTTCAGTTCCTGCTTTCGGGTTTCTGCCTTGAGTTCTTGTCCTGACTTCCTTCACTAATGAGTTTGTGCAGGCCCATAAACCCTTTCCTCCCAAGTATCTCTGATCATAGAGTCTTAATCACAGCCACAGAAAGCAGGGTGCTGTCCCTCGAGCTGTGGCAGCCTTAGCTCGCATGAGGCAGCACCAAGTGCCACAAGTCTTGTCTGACACAGAGGGCAGAGCATAGAGCTGTTCCCAGGGGCCATGCCTGTGGATCTCAGGGGGCTCTCAGGGCTCCCCAGAGGAATACAAAGAGAGTCCCATGCCCCTCTGCCCCAGGACAGTCACCAAAGACCTGCCTTCTACTTCCTCCCAAGCATCTGGTCTCTAGAAAGCAGACATAAGAGGAACAGAAGCCAGCTCTGGCTGGTTGCCATGTTCTCAGTACCCAGCCAGCGCTGGCCCTGCTTGGTACCTAAATTGAATTAATAGGGAGGAGGGTCGAGGGACAGGAAACAAAGGCACTCCTCAGCTGCCTCCTCCCTCTCCCCCTCTCCCTCCCCCAACCAGTCATGCACCCTTTGAGAAGGGACCAAGTGTCCCCACCTGGGCATCCTCAAGCCCAGGTCCTAGCCTCAGGAACTAGTGATAGTGGCCTGGTCCCCAGGCTCCTGGTCAATGCTCACATGGCTACCCTTCATGGTCTCCACTTCAGCAAGGCTCAAAGTTTCAACTTCTGAGTCCATGACCCTTTTACCCCAGCCGGGCCCTCTCCTTTCAGCTGAGGTGCTGGCTACACTCCCTTCAAACATCTCCCCGTATTCCCAGGCCCTCTCTATCCACTTCCCTCACCCCTCCCATTGTAGTCCGAGTGGTCTCTGACCTGGTCCCTGGCAGTCTTCCAGGTCCTTCCCTGGCTCATTCCCCAGAACTGGCATTCAAAACACTTTCAGAGAAAGACAAAGCCATCTGTCATCCCCCAGTCCTGGGGGCGGGGGAGCCACAATCTCTGCAAGGCAAGAGTCTCCTTCTCAGAGTGGCCTGAGCACTGTTTCCTGGGAGATTCCATCCCAGAAGGGAGCTGGAGGAGCATGATACACACTGGGTGTCAGATGTCACCTTGGGAGTCACTGGCAGGGAGATGGGAGGTCATTTGTGAAGGATAGACTGAGCGATTGGAGCAGTCTGGAGAAGCTGGTAGGGGGTGGTCAGTGTCACTTCCCTGAGGACTCAGGAGAACAGGCACAGGGAACACGGCTGATGGACCTTGGCCAAGATGTGACAGACAGGCCAGAGGAGCTGAGCAGTGACAAAAGGAGCCATGGCTTTGTCAGGAGAGTGGAGGGTCAGGCAGGGGCTCCAAAAACACTGGGTCCATGGTCCTCAGGCATGGATTCCAGGCCACAAGGCTCTTTTGGATCACGATTTACAACTTGGGCGGGGTGGAAGCTTAGTTCTGATACCTTTCTGGGCCTCAGTTTCTCTAGCTAGAGAGATGTTGGGCCTGTGAATACCATGATGGGCACAGCTCTAGCCCTTGCTCACCTGGGGTGTTCTTGCCCGTGTCAGCTTTCCCGGCTTGCACTTGCCCCGCTCCTACCCCCACCCTGCCTCAGGCTCAGGGCTCCTCACCCTCATTTCCCATACAGGAGCTAAGGCCCAGGGAAGGTCACACAGCTTGTCGGGGGCCCCTCTCTTTCCTGGTGCTTAGGGCCATAGCTCATTGGGTCAGCCCCTAGCCTCTGTTCACAAATGTGTGTGCAGACAGAGAGAGAGAGAGAGAGAGAGAGGGAGGGAGAGAGAGAGAGTGTTACGATGTGCTTATGTGTTGGCTCCCAGGCTCATTTCCATTCTAGAAACCCAAAGAAACAGGGAAGCCGAGGAAACGAGGCATTCATTCCTCACTGCTGCCCTCCCCATAGCTTGGAGCCCTGCGCCTCCTGGCAGGAAGGGCACTGAACACTGCCACCCTGCTAAACAGCCAAGTTGTCGAACAATTCCTACTTCTGAGTCCCTGCAGGAGACAGCAGGACCCCAGCAGCTGGGTGACACTCCAGCCACAGTGGAGGCTGTGAAGGAGGTAAGCCATCTCACCTGCTGACCTCCTCCAACGCCCCCGCCACCTACGGGGGAGGGCTTGGGGAACAGCTCCTAGGAACTGCTGACAACAGGTTCAGTGGCCTCTGCATAGGCCTCATGAAAGTCTCCACTGGCTCTCAGCTGAGGTCCCAGACTCCAGAAAAGGTGCTCAGGACCACACGTCACCGCCTCCAGCTTTGTGCCAAAGGACAGCTGCCCTGGTGAGAACAAGGGTGAGCCGCAGGGCCCCGCTGTCCCCACATTGACTGACAGAGCCACAGGGTCGGGGACGATAGGTAGAAGGGCAAGCTCAGACCACCTGAGTTGGCGTGATCTAAGTGGCTTTGAGAGAAGTTATCCCAGAGGACCCTGGCCACCCGGAAGCCCCAGACTATCCGGGCAGCTTGGACCTTCAGCAGGAACAATCTTAGAGTGGGGGCATCCTGGGACACAGGTGCCCAGGTACGGACAGTCAGCAGACACAGGTGATCGGACTGCACGGTTAAGTGGGCTGCACGGTTCGCTGCCTCCATCTCGCTTCTCTCAGCGACCTCTGAACAGTGCTTGTCTCCTGCCAGTGAACAACTGAGCTCAGTGGGAGGGACAGCCCTGGGTCAGGGGACAAGGACTTCTCCTTTGCCCTTCTCCAGGATCCTATAGAGGCAGCAGGGAACGGAAAGGGTCAGACCCTGTCTTCCAGATCCAACTGTTCCCTGTGTTCAGTGCACCCTTAGCTACTCTGCCTGAACCTCAGTTTCCACATCTGTAAACTGGGCCTGAGGGTTGTTTCCCAAAACTGAGCAAACAAAGCCATTTCGGTTACAGCACCCTTGAAGATCACAAAGACTAGGCAAAACATTTTGCTATTTCATTTGAAGCATCAATGGGCTCTAAGATTTGAACCCCATGGGTGTCAGCCTCAAAGAAGTGGGGAGGTACCCTAAAAGCTGCAAGGACAGAGGGTGACGCTAAGGAGGTAAAGGGAAGGGGACTTCCTTTCTGGTGGCTCCCAAGGTACAAGGCTGGTGCAGACATAACCGAGTCACCACTGTCTGTCTTAAGTAGCCTTAAGGAAAGTGCCTCTATGGTGGATGGGGCAGGCCACCAGACAGGCCTTGTCTACTCATGTGGGACCAGGCCCTGAACCACCTTAACAGTCAGCAAAGTCAAACCCTTTCTGAGGCCTAGGAGTCATGTTATTTATGATTTATTAAAGCCTGCCTGAGGATTCAGAAAGCAGTCAGCCACAAGCCATAGAAGTCAGACACACATCTGTCATCCCAGCAGCCAGAAGCTAGGAGGTACACACCTTTAATCCTGGCACTCAGGATTAAGAGGTAGAAGGAGCTCTCTGTGTTCAAGGCCACAGTGAGATACATGTGATTGAGTCAGTTTAAAGATAACAGATTGAGCTGGTTAAGAGCACTGTCTGCTCTTCCAGAGGTCCTGAGTTCAATTCCGAGCAACCACATGGTGGCTTATAGAGAGCCTTTCAAATAACACTGCGCTATGGAGTCCAAACACCATTCACACAGAATCGCTGCGCTATGGAGTCCAAACACCATTCACACAGAATCGCTGCGCTATGGAGTCCAAACACCATTCACACAGAATTCTACTTTAATGTGGCTTAGCCACCTAAATGTACTTGAAATAAATGAAATTGAATTTTTAAAAAGTAACAGATCACATGCCTTTAATCCCAGGACTAGGGGGTTATAAAAGATAGAAGCAGGGTCTTCAGTATTCAGTAGAGGCATTCGTTCTCCGGGCACAGTGAGGAGAGGCAGGAGTTTGAGACTTGGTGAAGAGCTTGTGTGTGATCAGCCGTTTCAGCCTGAGTTAGGGGTGAGAGCTAGTGGCTGACTGCTTTCCCTGATCTTCAGCTTGAACCCTAACATCTGTCTCTGGGTTCTTTTATTTTTCATGTTTCATTCCAGGTCAGGAGCCTCTGCGACTTTCCAAGGGTAAGTGCAGCTTCCAGCAGGAGCCCTCAGAGGCTCGGCAGGTAGAACTACCCTCATTCCCAGAGAAGGAGCAGAGGGCAAGGACGGGGAACTTGCCCCAGGCATCTGGACCCATCAGGCCGTGGGGGTGGGGCCCTGTGAACTTTGATCGCTTGGCTCTCGGCCCAGCCACCACCACCCCCACTTCTCCACTAACACTTCCTGCCTGGGGCCTCCAGGCCTGTAAGTACTGTGGGCTGGGAGGTGGACGCATCAGGCCTGTGGCCTAGGGAAGCCCAGACACGTAGCTGTAGGTAAGAGGCCTCATAGACGCTTCCTGCCTGTTCAGAGGAGGGTGCAGGAGTGGCCTGGACCCTAGATACTTGCCGCACAGCTAATGGGGTGACAGTGTCCTCTCCCTGGAAAGCTTGGTGCTGGCTGTGGTGCTGATGGTGGGCGTGGGGCCAGCCTACCCTTCTGAATGTCTGAGTCCCGCTTAGGCTGGGTACGTTAGACCTGAGAAAGAGCCATTTCCAAGGCTCCGTGATGAAAGCAAGCTGCACTGAGAGGAGAACAAAGGACAGGCCAGATGACAGCCTCCCCCTCAGTCGGGTTTCAGAGAGCACCTCCTCACGGCTTTTGAGGTCCCCTTGACAGAAAACAGCTGTTGAGATCATTGCTGTTAGTTCCTGAACAGAAGTGGGGGACTCAGGGCTCAAGGCTGCCTGGGGGTGACGGGTTCGAGAATACATCATGTGGGGGGCGCCACCACAGGCGTTTGGGGGTTTAACAAGGCAGAGGCTGGGGATACAAGTTCAGTACAGGTTGAAAAACATGGTTTGCAGGAAACAGAAGCCTGTTCTTTTAAGGGATGGAGACCTAATAACAATGTATGACGATGTGGCTCCTTCGGTTTCACAGGTTGCTAAAGGCTTTGAGGAAAGTGCCCCCCGAGAGCAGCTCATCCTCAAAGAAAGTTCCAGAGGCGGCACTGAATGCCAAGTGGAACAAAAATTCACTGAAGCTACCCTTGAACTTGGCTTCTGGGTCAGGTGGAACACAGCTGACCCTACCACCCAGCTGCCTCTCAGATTTCTCAGGGCCTGGGGAGCTCACCCTGCTGTCCAAGCTCTGTCTCTTGTAGACTCCTGCCCACACTGCGATGAGCTCCCTGCCTGCGCCCCGGGAGCCCCTGCGCCGAGTGGCTGTGACTGGGGGCACCCACGGAAATGAGATGTGTGGCATCTACCTGATCCGGCACTGGCTGCAGGCCCCGGGGGAGCTGCAGAGAGCCAGCTTCTCAGCCATGCCAGTTCTGGCCAACCCAGCAGCCACAGCTGCCTGTCGCCGTTACGTGGACCGCGATCTCAACCGCACTTTCACCCTCACCCTCCTCAGGTGAGTACGCCTGGCCAGGCTGGCTGGCCACAGCTGGGTACTAGCATCCCTCAGACCCGCCTCTGCGGCTAGCAAGGCAGCCCCGCCTTTGCTCATCCACCCTCCGGTTTACAGAGATCCAGATCAATGTCACTTCTTCCAGGAAGTCTGTCCTGACTGCAAGATGGTCAGTCCCTGAGCCTTAGGCCAGACTCTTAACAACTGGGGTGAGACTCACATTGGGGAGTAGGACCAAGGTGTAAGCCTCAGGTTACTGGGGACACAGAGGAAGAGTGGGGGAGGGGATGCTGCATGAGGCATCCAGCCTGGCCAAGAGCAGTCAGGAAGGCTTCTCGTCAGAGGTGGCATCTCAGCCAAGCCCTCAAAAGTGAGACGTTAGCCAAGACAGGACACTGATTGAGATGGTGGGGACTGGTGTCCCCTACTCCTTTCCCCGCAGTTCCACGGCCACTCCCAGTGACCCATATGAAGTGACAAGAGCACAAGAGCTGAACCGTCTCCTGGGCCCCAAGGGCACAGATCAGGCTTTTGACTTTGTCCTAGACCTGCACAACACCACAGCCAACACCGGGGTCTGCCTCATCTCTGAAGCCTCCCACAGTGCCTTCAGCTTGCACCTGTGCCACTACCTACAGGTGGCCGCTAGGGGGCGGGAGAGGGAGGGCAGGGAGGGGGCAGAGTGGCCACTTCCACCTCGGCCTGTCCCTGCCTCCAGGGGCCTGCCACCTGAAGGTACTTCCAGACTCTCTGGAAGCTTCCAACCAAGGGGGAGCCGTGGGGCAGGGTGGGTGGCCCTGGGCTTCCTGTACACCGCTCTTCCCAGCCTCGGTGCCTCAGTTTCCCCCCTCAGGAAGGCCCAGGCCCTGACTGGCCCTTCTCACCCCACAGCTGCAGAGCCTGGGGGTGCCCTGCCGCCTCTTGCAGTACGAGACATCCGGGAAGGAGACCTACAGTGTGGAATCTGTGTCCAAGGACGGCATCTGTGAGGGGCTGGCGTGGGGGGGGGGCAGGGAAGGGGCTAGAAGGGTGGAGTGCAGCCAGGGCCTGGGGAGGCAGAACCAGGAGGGGTAGGACAGACGGTTGGAGGGTGGAATCAAGACCCAGAGGAGAGGGATCTTGGGTCCCACATCTCCTTTTCTGGTCCCCAGGTCTGGAGCTGGGCCCCCAGCCTCAGGGCGTACTACGGGCCGACCTATTCTCACAGATGAGAACTCTGGTGGCGTCCATTCTGGACTTCATTGAGCTCTTCAACCAAGGTGAGACCCCGCAGTAGCTGGTAGTGAAACGGGTCTGGGGAGAGGGCTGGCTCCTGGAAAACGGAGAAATGGACAGGCGGCCACACCCAACCTCGACACAGGCATGGCCTTTCCCGCCTTTGAGATGGACATCTACAGGGTCTTGGGCAGTGTGGACTTCCCACGCACGGCAGATGGGGACCTGACCGGCACTGTGCACCCTCAGCTGCAGGTTGGTGCTTGAGGGAGCGTGAGGGTAGGGAGGGGGTGCCCTGAGGATCTCACAGGGCTCACAGCAATCCTCACACATGGGGTGGCTGCCCTTTGACTGAAGAAGCAGAGGGGAGGGGACAGGACCCAAGTTATCTGACTGGAAGTGCAAAAATTCTTTTTCCATGGATATGTGAGCAGCCTGTGTCTGTGAGCTGACTGTCTTCACGGGGTTGCTGTTGAGCATGGTCTTGTGTAGGCCTTTTCCTGAAGCAGTCTTAGTATTTTCAAGAGTATTTGACACCTGGTAGAGAGCATCCTAAAACGGGTCTGCCCAAATGTTTTGCACGTAAATGCTATGTAACAGTTATTTTAGGGAGTTTACTTTAAAAAATATAAGAGGAATCTGTATACAGGAGCAACTCTGGTGAGAGGGTATTTCTTGATGATGTCATAGCCATCCTAATTTGTATACTATGCTCCATGACGTTCTTGCACCCAATGACACATTTCTCAGAACTAACCCTACTTTTAGGTAGTGCTTCTTGGCAAGGCTGGGGTTACTCCGTTCTGGGGGCAGGGATGGGGGGCAGAGGTCATGGCCCCAGCAACCTTGGCCTTGGCTCTTCTCCCAGGACCACGACTTCGAGCCGCTGAGGCCTGGTGAACCCATCTTCAAGCTGTTCAGTGGTGAGGACGTGCTGTATGAGGGGAACTCCACCGTGTATCCTGTGTTCATTAATGAGGCCGCCTACTACGAGAAGCACGTGGCTTTCCTGAAATCTGAGAGGATCCGGGTCCAGGTGCCTGCCCTGCCTGGACTGACCTCCAGCTCCACCCTGGCACCCTAACCCAAGGCATACCTGCCTGGTCTCAGTCTCACTACCTGAACAATGGGTCTCAAGGCACAGTTCCAAGCCCAGGGTCCCCTGTCCTACTCTGAGCACCATGTCCCTTGCCAGACAACTGGTCCCATAGCATAAAATGGAATGTGCCTAGAAGCCATGGTTCTTGTTCTCTGCCTAGCGTGGCCTCTCTTTGAATGGGGAGGTGGGTAGAGGAGGGTAGGGATGTCCACAGGGCCGTGCATGGTGGGCGTAGCATCCTGAAGGGGACGCTGAGTGTGACCTTGGACCTGGGACAAGTGGTAGGCACAATCTCTGTACCCACATTTGGCCACACACCCTGGAAATAGAGGTGATTCTATATGTGGAGAAAGAACTGGAGAGGGACTTCCAGGAGCCCAAGAGGGATCCCCAGCCCCCTCACCTGAGTCCATGTAAGTGTGTACAGCTGTGCTCGTCCAGGTGCGTGCCTACCCAAGTACTCTTAGTATGTGTGTGTGTGTGTTCTCAAGAGTACCGGGCCCACAAGTGTTCTTCTGGGGTGATCTGTATATAGGTAGGCACATGGCCTAGATGCAAATTTCTGGGTGACTCAAAGGGATTCAGGATGCAGAAGGGGTATACCCAGGACAATGACCCAGCTGCAGGGCACTCCAGGAGATGGTTTGGGTTAGGGCAGAAGGAAGCCTACCAAAAACCAAGGAAGCCAAAGTTCCTTTGCCACCACTACCACCTGCTCTATACCTCCCCCCACCCACCAGCAGCAGGGGACTGAACATGAACTGAAATCTGAGAGCACCCTGGTCTCTGTGCCTGCCCGGCCAGAACTGACCTCCAACTCCACCCTGGCTCCCTAACACTAACGCAAGATCCTAGTGGTGCCCCCCAGCCCTCACCCAGGAGCCCTCCCAGGCAGGCATAGCATTGCAAACCTCCAGGGAAAGGTCAGGACTGGGGCCCGGAGCCCTGTCCTCCTGCAGCCCTTGTTCTCTGGGCCTCTGCAGTCTGCCTGGCCCATTCATCTCCCTGCGGCCACGGCTGCCACGCTGCCTCCTGGTATTGAACTGTGAGATGAGAAGGTGTGAAGGATATGGACGCGCCAGGGACCAGCTGGCAGGCAAGATGGATGAGAGGGCAGTGCGGGCCAGCCGGAGCCTGGGGCAGGAAGGCAGCCAGTTAGGGAGGGGTGCAGGATGGGTTGCCGTGCACAGTGTGCATGTGTTCATGCGCTGGGCTGTGTCCCCTGTGTGGAGAGACTACAGGCACACAGAAGCTCCATCCACTGTCCTGCCACGAGTGGGCCTCTGATCTCACGGATGTGCATGTAGGCATGTGAGTTAGGATTTCTATGCTCGTGTGTGTATGTTTCCCAATGCATGTACCAAAGGCAAGCACACACACATACATATCAAAACCCAACAGAACCCCAGGCTGGCCCACTTCTGGGGATCTGGGCTGAGGAAGAGCTGCAAAGGCTGGGACAGAACCCCCTAACCTCTCCTTTGTCTCTCCTACTTCTCACCCATCGCATTGAATTCTGGGGCAGGAGGGCTTGGGGCACACATCATTGGAGGGCTCTGGGAGATACTGGTGCCCTTTGACTCGCAGACAGCACCCCTTTCCTCCCTAGCTGAAAGCTTAAGAGCCAATGTCAATGTCCTCCATATAGTGGAGTGTGGATCTATGCAGGATGGGACCCCTCCCTGTGTGTGTGTGTGTGTGTGTGTGTGTGTGTGTGTGTGTGTGTGTGTCCAGCTTCACGCTCGAATCTAAAGCCGAGGGGCATTGGATGAGTGGCAGGGAGAGGCAGAGCTAGCCAGCCTGCACCCCAAGCACCACACTCAGAGAAAAGCACCCCTCCAGCCATGGGTTTGGGTCCTGCCCTTGTTTGACCCTGGAAGAGACCATGACTTCTATGAACCCAGCCTTCCAGCACCAGACTCTAAGGAGGCCTAGATAGTCCCTGGACAGGTGAATTTCTTGGGACATTTAGTACAGGCCACTGGTCAAGGGGTGCCCTCAGCTAAGGAAGTGCAGGTTTAGGGGACGGCCCATCCTGGAGCCGTCGTGACTAGGTTCCCCTCAGGACAGATGGAGAAGCTTGGAGGAGGTGCCAGGCAAGGCTGGAGAGGGACCGGGGGTAGAGTGGATCCACAGCCTGCCTCAGTCTACCCTAATGGAGACGACAGGTGACCATCAGGCGACGGCATGACCTCTTCTATGCTGTTTTCAACTAAGGCTGGGTCATCCCAGGAAGTGGATTATTCATTGAAGTCGGGGAAACTGAGGCAATCAGGATAGGCAGGAGGATCTGAATATCTTATTGCCCAATCTGGAGCTATCCCTGCCTCTCTTGTGTTTCCTGCTTGTCCCTTGTCCCATTCAACACCAGCAGGCTGGGGTCTTAGGCTGGAGGGAGGGTGTCGCCTCTGCACTCTGCACTTGGCCCTCATTTGCCATCTCTTCTGCTGCCTCCCCTTCAGCCCTTTCATCTGAGCAGATCCCAGCCCCTGCGGACACCAGGCTGTCCTCAAGATGGCACCCCACCCCCACCTGCACTGGGGCCCATTGATCAGGAATAGCTGGGGGCTCTTAGCTGGGGAAGGGAGAGAGGACCAGGAGAGGAGAGGGGGCTTTGCAACGTCACAACCTCCCCACCTGCCCCCTTCCACATGCGTCTGCCTCTGGAGCTAAACCCAGTCAGTGGCCCAGCTTCAGACACTACAATCAGAGGTGCTTTGGAGACGCTCAACCCAAGCATCCCAGAGCCAGACTTTATAAACATCCAGACCAAGTGCCAGCCCGGGAAGAGAAGCCTTGGTCAGGGACGTGGACAGAGGACAGTCGAGGAGGGAAGGACAGTACTGAGGACTGGGAACTTGTGCACGCTTGAGAGTGAGGTGTGTTGCTGAGCTTAGAAGCCAACCTAGTGCCGCTGGCTGCCCCTCCCTGGGTGAGGCTGCAGCCCAGCTTGACCTGAGCTGAGATCGCGCTGTCCGCATGGCAGGTAGGTATGGTTCAGGCAATAGAGGTGGCCTTCTAAGTGATGGGGTCCTGGGGCTTGGGCAACTGGATGGCAGGCTTCCTAAGATAGTTTCAGATGGAGCCGATCTCTCCCAAAGGCCTCCACCCACTGCCAAAACCCCAGATCTTGTGACACTCTTCATGGGTCAGGGGCAGTCAGGGCTGTGGCAAAACCCTGTCCTCGAATACTCTGTAAGCAGTCCAATGGCACTGCTTACCTGGTGTCATGTCTGCAACCTGTCTGCAGCCGCCTGTCTTTTTACTGTTTATGATTATTGTATGTGCACTTTGCTGCACATACATGCATGAAATTGTGCATGACAGGGTGGGGCAGCCATGAAACACATGTGGGGGTCAGAGGGCAACTTGTGTGGAGTTGGTTCTCTTTCCAGCTTGGTTGGTTCTGGAAATGAAATTCAGGTTGTCTGGCTTTCATGGCAACAGTTTCTCCTGCTGAGCCATCTCACCAGCCTCCCATCTTTCTTCATCCTTTGTCCAGCAGCCCCCTTTGCTCAGTCTTACCTGGTGGCAGTGTCGGGAATGGAGACCTTGCCTCCTGACTTCTGGCCACCATGAATTCCGTGGGTCCTCCTGTCCTCAGCCCCTTACTGGAATGTTCTCCATTGATTTTTGTTACTGTATTGAACACAGGTCTCCTGTAGCTGAGGCTGACCTTAACTTCAGTATGTAGCTGAGGATGACTTCAGCTTCCAAGCGTTGAGAGGACAGGTGTGCACAGGCTCAAAACAACCTTTAAAATCCAGAGCTGGGCATTGAAAACACGTCCCCATACATGCTGGGCGAGTGCTCAATTGCTGATCTGTATCCCCAGCAAGAGCTTTAAATTGTGGCAAGGATATATAATGTAAAATTTACCATGTTAACCATGTTTAAGCACACAGCATTAGACATTAGGACATTCACAGCTGTACCCCATCACAGTCTGCTTATGTCTTTTGCATCTTATAAAGCTGAAACTCTCTCATCACCACTGAACATTTCTCCTCCTCCTGGGCCCTGGCAACCACCTCGACCTTTCTGTGTCTCTGTAATGTTTTACCTTCTGTGGTAGAATTATACTGTGTAATGTTTTACCTTCTGTGGTAGAATTATACTGTGTAATGTTTTACCTTCTGTGGTAGAATTATATTGTGTGGCCCTGTTCTTCTGGCTCATCTCACTGAGCAGAATGCACACGCGAGCGCGCGCACACACACACACACACACGCACACACACACACACGCACACACACACACACACAGAGGCACACACTGCCTCAGAAAGTCCTTTCCTCTGTAGGGTGACTAGTATCCCATTGTGAGCAACAGCTTATTTATCTGTTCATCTGTCAGTGGACACTTGACTGCTTCTGCCTTCTGGCTCTTGCAAGCAGTGCTGCCCTGAGGTGGTTCCTACTTTGGTGATCCATGTCTAGTTTTGCAGGACTCTCATTTCTGCAAAGGCAGCACCATTTAAATTCCCACCAACCCTAGGGTTTCACCCACACTCGTTAAGTTCTGGCTTCCTTACTTGTCCTAGCAGACATCTTGATTTGTTGAACCTGGTGTCTTTCTGAGAATAGTACCACTGTTTTAGTTATTTGTAGTTTTTGAAGCAGAGTCCTATCCATTCTGTTTACTTGTTAATCTTCATTTTACTTTTTACTTTTTTTTTTGAGACAGGGTTTCATGTAGCCCACGCTGGCCTCAAACTCACTATGTAGCTGAGAAGAACCTTGAGCTCACTATGTAGCTGAGAAGAACCTTGAACTTCTGACCCTCCTGCCTCTACCCCTCAAGTCCTGGCATTACAGGCATGCACTACCAAGTTGCTGTGGTTTTACTGTGGCACTGGGAATCAAACCTAACGTTTTGTGCTCACTAGGCGAGCAACAAACTGAGTTGCGCCCCAGCCTAGCATCATTATTTTGTTAGTATTTATTTATTTTGTGTGTGTGCTGGTTAGTTGTCAACTTCACACACACTAGAGTCATTTTAGAAAAGGAAATAAACCTGAGGAGTTCTTTCCAGTGGAATGGTCTGTGGGCACGCCTCCAGGGCGTTTTTCTTCATTGAAGATGGGTGTGGAGGATGCAGCCACTGCTGTGATGCCACTCCTGGGCAGGCGGCCCTGGGTCACACAAGAAAGCAAGATGAGGGTCACGCAGTAGTGGCGTTTGCCTTTAATCCCAGTACTCAGGAGGTAGTGGCAGGTAAATCTCGGAGTTCGAGGCCAGCCTAGTCTACAGAGTGAGTTCCAGAACAGCCAGGGCTATACAGAGAAACCCTGACTCAACAAACAAAGAACAAAACAACAACAAAAACCAAACCAGAAAAAGAAAAGGGGTGCGGGAAGCTGAACAAGCCATGAGGAGAAAGCCAGGGAGCCGTGTTCTACGGCTTCAGTTCCTACCTCCAAGCTCCTACCCTGACTTCCCTCAGTTGGTGGACTGAGACCTGTAAGCCAACTAAACCTTTTCCTCCCCAAGTCTCTTTCAGTCCTGGTGTTTATGACATCAAAAGAAAGCAAACGTGCACCGTGTGCGCTAATGAAATCAGAGGATAAGTGCAGTCAGTTTCTCCTTCCACCATGTGGATCCTGGGAATTGAATCAGACATTTGGCCTTGGCAGCAAGATCCTTCACCTGTTGAGACATCTCATAGCCCAAGTATCATTATTTTAAATGGGAGACTGGAGAGTTTAGAAGCGTTTGGCCAAGGCTTATACTGGAAATTGCGACAGAGTCTGTCCAGAACATGGTGTGTGCTTGGGGTGGGGGTGGGGCGTGGTTGCACAGCCATGAAAATCCTAATGCCATGAGTTGTATGCTTAACCTGGTTAGCATGGCAAATTTTACATTATGTATACTATAGCCACAATTCAAAGGTGTTGCTGGGGATATAGCTCAGGTTTCAGGTCTAAAGGAGATAATTTAATTTGGATGAACTGAGATTCCCTTCCAGCCCCTTCCCCCAAAACAACAATAGGCAGCTGGGGCTCCATAGAGTTTTGTATATGTTCTACTTCCTCACTTTACCCCATCTGTGAATATGTCACCTATGAAGAGACTCCTGTGTGTCTGTCACACTCTGCTCTCCACACAATGTGGGTGTCTGCCCTGTGAGACAGGGAAACTGGGGATCTGAGAGGTGAGACGACTTGTCCAAGGCCACGAATCTTTTTTTTAATATTTTATTTATTGTGTATACAGCCTTCTGCCTGCAGGGTACCAGCTCTCATTTAAGGTGGTTGTGAGGCACCATGTGGTTGCCGGGAATTGAACTCAGGACCTCTGGAAGAACAGTCAGTGCTCTTAACCTCTGAGCCATCTCTCCAGCCCTGCCTTCCAGAATCTTGCTAGGGGAAAGAATTTAAAGGTGCCAGGGGAAACTTCAAAGCCTAGGGGACAGCCTGAGGCCAGAATAGCGACTTAATCCCAGCACTTGAAAAGCTGAGGCAGGAGGAGTCCCTCTAGCATGTGGCCAGCCTTGGCTACCAAATGCTGCCATGCCTCAACACTCCCATCCAGAGAGTCATAGTGATGCAATGCTTGTACCCCTAGGCCCTGGGAAGTGGAGACAAGTAGCTCCAACGTTCAAGATTATCTTCTGATGCATAATGAGTTACATAACGAGGCCAGCCTAAGCTACACGAGACCAGGAAAAAAAAAAAAAAAAGAGACAAGTTCACTGTGACTGAATATGGAGATGTGGAGTGGGTTTTATGGCAATACCGGGAGCAGAAGCCTGGCAGGCAGGGAGGCGTTCCAGAGGAAGAGGCATATGAACACTACCTCAAAGATGAGGTCAGGCCAGCAAGGTCAGGCTCATGGCTTCATCCTCTCTCCACAGTCTTCCTGTCTGCTGGCCTAGGGGTACTTGCTCCCCCAGAGAACTGCCCCCCACCTGTGACCAGCACCAGCTGGGAACCCCAGCTGGGAATGTCATTCCCACCAGGTCCCTGCACCCAGTCCACAGAAGCCCAAGCCACGGTGGAGCCCACTGGGCAGGGCCCCAAGAACCCGCGTGTGTCCAGTGTGGTGGTGCAGCTGGAGATGAAGCCACTGTGGGAAGAATTCAACCAGCTGGGCACGGAAATGATCGTCACCAAGGCGGGCAGGTGTGGGCATGCGCCATGGGGGCTGGGCAGGGGGTGGGGCCACGGCCAGGCTGAGCACCTCCCTCCCACAGGAGGATGTTCCCCACCTTCCAGGTGAAGATCTTGGGCATGGACACACTGGCTGACTACGCTCTGCTCATGGACTTCATCCCCCTGGATGACAAGAGATACAGGTCTGGACCCTGGGGGAGCAGGGGTGCTGGGGACTCGAACTGGACCCCAAGGGTAGACAGGGTGATGGGAAGCCCTTCAGAGTCCATGCCAGGGAGGCCTAGCCTAGAGCAACAGCCTTTAGGCAAAAAGAAGCCCAGCACGAGGAAATGGGCTAGCCTGAGGCAGGCACTGGCATGCACGCATATACAGAATTAATTTAAAAACAAAGGATGCTCACCAGGCACTGAGCATGCCCGGTCAGGATCAGCCTCTTCACCATTCGCTTGGTCAGACTTGGCACAGAGCAGGCTGGAGACAGCCCGTGACCTCTCACCCTGCTCCCCCAGGTATGCCTTCCACAGTTCTGCCTGGCTGGTGGCAGGCAAGGCTGACCCGGCCACACCTGGCAGAGTGCACTTCCATCCTGACTCTCCAGCCAAGGGTGCCCAGTGGATGAGACAGATTGTGTCCTTTGACAAACTCAAGCTGACCAACAACCTGATGGATGACAACGGCCATGTGAGGACAGGCCACTAAGCTATCCCAGGGAGGGACTGAGTCCATTGTAACGGGGCTGATGTGTTATTTGAATGGATGTCTGAAGGAAGAGAGGGAGGGAGGGAAGGTGCCAGGGGAAACTTCAAAGCCTAGGGGACAGCCTGAGGCCAGAAAATACAGAGAATCCTCGAGGAGACTCCCAGTGGGCCAGAAAATACAGAGAATCCTCGAGGAGACTCCCAGTGGGCCAGAAAATACAGAGAATCCTCGAGGAGACTCCCAGTGGGGCTGAAGTGAAGGAAAGTGGTGGGTGGCTGTCACACAGGCCAGGTGCTGAGGTAGGACCCTGGATTTTCCTCTCTGTGGATGAGATCGATAGAGGATTTAGAGCAGGTATATTTACCTTGCCCGCCTGCTATGTAGAGACCAGGCAGGACAAGCTGGGGAGGCAGGGAGGCCAGCCAGGATGCAGCTGAGATCGCATGAAAGGTGGCCGGGGCTGGCTAGCTTGGTGGCAGACGGCAGGTGGTGAGACGCTACGTAGTTCTGAAGGTAAACGACAGGAGGGCCACGGGCAAAGAAGGGTGGAATCTTGGGCCCAGGGAGGGTGGTTACACCAGCTCTGTCTCTGTACTCCGCCCCACCCTTCTGCAGATCATTCTCAACTCCATGCACCGTTATCAGCCCCGTTTCCATGTGGTCTTTGTGGACCCCCGCAAGGACAGCGCCCGCTATGCCCAGGAAAACTTCAAGTCATTTGTCTTCGCCGAAACCCAGTTCACAGCTGTGACAGCCTATCAGAACCACCGGGTGGGTCATGCCAGAGCTCATGACCACCAGCCCATCTCTGAGGGGTGGAGACTGAGGCTGGGGGTTCCTCCTGTCCCCTGGTCATCTGGCTTCATGCTGGCTTTGGAGGTCCTGGGCCAAGGGGGTCCCTGGAAGTTCCCAGGGAACAGAGTGGCTAAGTGTGGGCTTTTCAGGGCGTAATGGCTGGAGGCCAGCCCATAACTATACTTTCTCTTTGTAGATCACACAGCTGAAAATTGCCAGCAACCCCTTTGCCAAAGGCTTCAGAGAGAGTGACCCGGACTCATGGTACTATCTCACACATGTACTATCTATGTCACACATGTACTATCTATGTCACACATGTACTATCTATGTCACACATGTACTATCTACGTCACACATGTACTATCTATGTCACACATGTACTATCTCACACATGTACTATCTCACACATGTACTGTCTATCTCACACATGTACTGTCTATCTCACACATGTACTATCTCACACATGTACTATCTATCTCACACATGTACTATCTATGTCACACATGAACTATCTCACACATATACTATCTCACACATGTACTATATCACACATGTACTATCTATGTCACACATGTACTATCTATGTCACACATGTATTATCTCACACATTTCTTTTTGCTCTAAGCCCAGCCCTGGCCCCAGGCTCCACCCAGGCAGATCCTAAGGCCTTCATTTCTGACCTGTTTCATGTTTATGTCCCGTGGTTTGTCCTGGGATCCCCTATCTGACTCGTGTGTGTGTGTGTGTGTGTGTGTGTGTGTGTGTGTGTGTGTGTGTGTGTGTGTGTGTGTGTGTCCTCCTTCCCCATTCCCGTTTGCCCTGTCTTCAGGCCTGCTTCCCCAAGGCCACTGCTCAACATCCCAGCCCGGAGTCGTGGCAGCCTCAGTCCCTGCCTGCTCAAAGGATCTGCAGAACGAGAGAAAGGTGAGGGCCCAGCCCAAGCACAATGACACAGGCCTCCAGGAAGGGGCTTCAGTGTGATCAGCAATACCCCACCCTCACCTCCACCTGGGCAGAAACGGGGCAAAGGGAACAGGGCAGAGACAGGGTATAAAGCACAGGAGGGGGCCTGGTGGGCTTCCTGGAGGGGGTGGATCCTGAGCTGGACATGGGAGGTGGAAGCCCAGCTTGGAACTGAGAGGGGGTATTTGGACAGAGGAGAAGGTAAGGAAGAAAGTCCAGGCAGAGAAGAGAATAAGGAGAAATACTGAAGTAGGCCAAGATGGGTGACAGGGACAAGGCAGACCCGGTAAACCTCAGTATTAGCACTGGGGCTCTGAGAGGAAATCTGCAGTCCACTTAAACCATTCTCTCCCTCAGAAGCCAGTAAAGCTTCAGCTTCCAACTCCAGGACCCCTACCCAACCACACCATCAGCTGCTGCCTGCCCCAGAGGTCCTGCTGGGCCCTGCCACCTACAGGCCCCTCCCTTACCAGGACCTGTATCCTGGAGCCCCTGGCCATGTTGGAATCCCAAGGGCTCGGCTGGCACCATACCCTCTTGCCAGCATCAGCACTGATGGAGATCAGGAAGACCCCACCCTCCCAGTTGGGCTTGGGCTCCTGACTTCCTCTGCCTTGTGCTTGGGGCCTAGCCACGCCTCGCACTGACGGCCAGGTGCTTTGGAAGTCCTCTTGCCCTGTGCCCCAGCTCTCCTACCCTCCTCTGTGGAGCCACCCCCTAAGGAATGCAGTACAACTGGAAGCCCTGACGGCAGTGGTTCCTGCCTCAAAGTCAATGTAGGGCCTGCCGGTCTTGGAATCAGGACTCCTACCCTGAAGCCCTGAATCCTGCCCTGACTCAAAGATGCCTCCTCTACACCCTGCTTCCATTGTCCTTCCCCTATATTAAACTGCTTGACACTGAGAGTCAGAGCGCTTCTGTCCACAAGAATGTCCAGACCAGACAGTCCATCACCTTTGCAGGTATCCAAAAGCTGGACCTAGGAGCACAGGGTGATGGGAACAGTGATGAAGGCTGCGCTTAACTTGACGTGTCCCCTACTTTGCCCACCCATATAAGGACATAACCGGCTCAGAGAGGCATCTGCTAAGTCACACAGCAAAGTACAGCTGACACCTGTCATTCCATTTAAATGCTGTACTCCAAGGCTGGTAAAAGGCTAGAGGCCATCGAGGGGCGCTTAATATGATTGGTTGGGATCACAGGGCAGGATGGGTGTAGACTTGGAGAGCCAATCAAGGCCAGAGGGCTGGAGTCCTGCTCTTTAGAGACGCTGGTGGGATAAGGCTGGGGGAGGCGCAGATCCTTCATTCTCTTAGAGTGGGCGCCCCGGGAAACGGAGGACTCCGACTCTTCTCAACTCGGAGCTCTTCCTGTGAGACCTTCTGGAAAGCACCGACACCCACAGGAACGAGAAACAAGGAGCCCAGCAGATCTTCAGCAGCCAGACATCCCAACTCCCGAACTTAAGTCAAGACCCATTCAGTTCAGGTCACCCAAGCATTATGGAAACACAAATAACAAAACAACTTGGCCGTAGCCGGGCGTTGCGTTGGTGGCGCACGCCTTTAATCCCAGCCTCGGGAGGCAGAGGCAGGCGGATCTCTGTGAGTTCGAGACCAGCCTGGTCTACAGAGCCAGGACAGCCTCCAAAACAATACAGAGAAACCTGTCTCGAAAAAACAAAAACAAAAAGTCCGCACTGATAGGGAAGTCACGCCCCGGAAAGAAATTCAAGTCAAGTTGATCGCCTTTCCGGACACACCTCCACCAGCACCAGCTGTAGGCCAGGTCTTTCCCTCAGGTGGCGCTCTGGTCCCGGTACACAAAATCGCTTCTGCCCTCACCTAGCAAGCCTCAGACGCCCCACCCCAATCACCAATAGCAGCAAACCCCGCCTTCACGTTCCTGTGTGCCCAGCCCCCGAGGCCTCCGAGGTCCCGCCCCAGAAGGCGCGGAAGCCTTGCTCAGAAAACCCCGGACGGTCGACCTCGTATGCCCGCCTCCGGAAAGCCCCGCCTCTCCCCGCCCCACCCATCAGTGGCCCCGCCCCGGCAGGCGCGCACGCTTCCTACCGCCCCGAGGCTCCGCCCTTAAGTGCCCAGCAACGCCCTTCCGTATCCCGCTTGGGACCAGGCTCAGCGCTGGGTCCTTCGGGCCGCCGCGTCTCTTCCCTCCCGGGCCGATGCCCTCTATGTCCTGGTCATCTGGGTCATGCTGTCTGATTGCCTGTCCGCCGAGGGCGAGCGGCGCTGCCGGCAGCTACTAGCGGGGACCACTACCCGGCTACGCTCGCGGCCCGCGGCGGCCGCGGTGCTTGTGCCGCTGTGCCTGGTGCGTGGTGTCCCGGCGCTGCTCTACACGCTGCGCTCCAGCCGCCTGGTCGGGAAGCACAAGGGGGAAGTCAGGTACGCCGGCCGCTCCGGCGCACCACCCACGCCACGCACACCCAGCTGAATTTTCCCCTCCAAAAACTGGACTCTGCTCCTTATCGGAGACTGGAGAGAGGCCGTCGGGACTCCCCATTTTTGGCGAACATCCTAGGGTCATTACCTATACCTCTGGGACACCATAGGCAGACTTGGGGTGTCCGAGTAGCTGGATAGTCGTACCCTGATGCCGAACCTCATGCCCTAGCCTGCATCTCCAGTGCCTGTCTCCCCTTACTCTAGTGACACAGGGAGGTAAACTGCCTCCTGAGGGCCTGTGGTCCCAATACTCCCTTTGCCCATTCAGTTTCCCAGGTGGTAAGTGTGATCCCGAAGACCAAGATGTAATACATACGGCCCTTCGGGAGACTCAAGAGGAGCTGGGCCTAGAGGTGCCCAAGGAGCATGTGTGGGGTGCCCTGCAGCCTGTGTATGACCGGGTGAGCCACCCTTATCCTGTCACACTCTGTATCCCAAGTGAAGGGGTGAGCCAGCCCTGCTCAGGGTCCCGGAAGGCTTTCAGGGTAGGCTGCGTTGATTCGGGCTTGAACGACAAGTGGGAGATCTTAGGGTGGTACAGGGAAGGGAAAGAGGTTCAAAACCCTTCAAACCTGCGATCAGGCACCATGGCAAGAAGCCAAGGAAAAAGACTGGAGGCTTGGCCATGACTACCCGGGGCCTCTGGATGGCAGAGCAGGGTCTGCCTTTCAGGTTTGCTTCTCCTGACCGCTCACCCTCCACCTGCTCCAGGGAAAGGCAACCATAGTCCCTGTGCTTGCCAACGTGGGCCCGCTGGATCTGCAGAGCCTCAGGCCCAATCCCGAGGAGGTGAATGAGGGGTACTGGGTTGCTGGGGTGTCCTGCCAGGGGGTTGGGGAGTCCTCTGTCCACCCTCTCTGCCTCTTGTCCCCAGGTGGATGAGGTGTTTGAGCTGTCTCTGGCCCACCTGCTGCAGACTCGGAACCAGGGCTATACCCACTTCTGCCAGGGGGGCCGCTTCCGCTGCACAATGCCTGTCTTCTTGCATGGGCCGCACCGCATCTGGGGCCTTACAGCTATCATCACTGAGTTCACCCTGAAGCTGCTGGCCCCGGCCATCTACCAGCCCTACCTAGCTGTTCCCCGAGGAGCCTAGGAGTTGAGGCTCGACCCTTAAGTGCCTCTGCCTTCATCTGAAGCAGGCTACCCTGGAGCTGATTAAAAGTCTTTGACACCTCTTCCTTGGCATCTTCTGTGTGGAACGTGAAAAAGCAGGGAGTGGTGGTACGCCCTTGTAATTCCAGCAAAGATAGCTGGATCTCTTGGGGCAGCTGGCCAGCCGGGAGAGGCTACTTGGCGAGACCCGGGCCAATGAAAGACCGTTTCACAAGAACCAAGTGGTGAGGTAGCTGGGTGGGCAAAGGCCCCAGGCGCAAAGCCTGGCAATCGTGTCTCATTTTGGGACCCACGTGGTGGGAGGAGGGAAGCGTCTCCTGCAGGTTGTCCTCCGCCCACAACATGCTTGCTCGCATATGCGTGTGTGTGCTCACACATGAGGTAAATGTGGACAAGCGAAAGAAGTGTGTGGTGTACCCCTGTAATGCCTGCCCACTGGAGGCGGAGACAGGAGGATGGAGAATTCAAGGCCCCTTGTACACATTGAGACATTGTCTCAGAAACTACCAGAAGTGGAAGGGATGCAGGGGAGCTACTGTCAGTGAGACCCCCTGGCAGGAACACCTCAAAGAAGGTGACCAATGGCCGGGTGGTGGCGGCACATGCCTTTAATCCCAGTGCTCAGGAGGCAGAGGCAGGCGGATCTCTGTGAGTTCGAGACCAGCCTGGTCTACAGAGTGAGTTCCAGGGCAGCCTCCAATACAGAGAAACCTTGTTTCTAAAAACCAAAAAAAAAAAAAAAAAAAGGAGAAGAAGGTGACCAATGGCCAGGGGAAAGGTCAGTCTAGGTAGGAAGTCCTGCCTGGGAGGCGGAAGAGAAGAGCCTTGTGGAGATGGATAGGCCAGTTCCACCACACAGAGGGCCACCACAAGGTCAATGGGACGGACTTAGAGACAAGGGGGCATTACTGCCTTGATTGTATTCCCAGCCAGGGGACAGGCCCGGAGCATGGTGTGATGGCCAGCTGGTTTCCTCAAGGGAACTAGAATGCAGGGCCTTCCCAGATGTTGTACCTGCTTCTCTCACAGAAGCCTTCCCAGCCCTGCACACCTCCCTTCATCCCCCCATGCTCCTGCCCTTCTCACCTACTTCGTCTCCCGCCTGCCCCCAACACACCTCTGGCCCTGCAGCCTCTCACCCAGCAGCAGAGCCACATGATGGTGGTAAAAATAGCTCTGTTTGACAGAGTGTGAACGGAGGAGCAGAGGCAGGAGACAAGACCGGGCCCCGGTGCTAGGGAAGGGCCCTTGGGCGGTGTGGGCTCCTGATCCCCTCCCCTGCTCAGTCACACACTTGCTCAGATGGGTCACTTTAGTCTCTGGTTCTGTCACCCTAAGCATACATCCAGAGCCAGCAGCAGCAAGGGGATGTGACGCAGCTGTCAGAGGTAAGGACCCCAGAGGGCTGACTCCAGCCTCGATCCTCCAGGGAGCCCTTCCAACCCTGCCCCTTTAGTCTTAGGACACTTTGGTCTGTCCTAGGGCAGCCTTGGTGATGCCTCTTTATTCCATTTTGGTGGGTAGGTGTGTGCCCAGTGTCTCCAGTAGGTGGGAGTCTCTGTGTCCGAGCCGCCATGGCATGCGCAGGGCCAGCCGGTGGGCGGCAGCGGGTGAGCATGCAGGAACACATGGCCATTGACGTGAGCCCCGGCCCCATACAGCCCATCCGCCTCATTTCTGACTACTTTCCACACTTCTACCCCTTCCTGGAGCCGGTGCTGCATGCACCAGACCCTCAGGCTATGCTGACCCCGGCCATCCACTCTGCACCCCAGCTGCAGCCCGAGCCAGAGCCAGAAGGAGACTCAGACGACAGCAGTGAGTAGGGGAAACAATGGGTCAGGGGGTGTCTCCAGCACCCATGGCAGAGGCCAGGCAAGTGGCACTGTGCCATGCGGGACAGGTGGGTGCCAGAGTGGGGTGACTATGCCTGCCGCCTGCCATCTAGCTGCCCTGGGCACTCTGGAGTTCACACTTCTCTTTGATGCGGACAACAGCGCTCTACACTGCACAGCCCATCGTGCAAAGGTGAGGATGGGGGCAGAGTTCCTGGCATAGGACAAGCCACAGGCCTCTCTACACCCATTTTCTGTTCTAGGGCCTCAAGCCACCAGCCTCAGGCTCTGTGGACACCTATGTCAAAGCCAACTTGCTGCCAGGGGCCAGCAAGGTGAGAGTAAGACCTAGGCCTCTTAGATGGCAGGGCCAGAATAGATACCCAAGAGTCCTACTTCACCCCTACCCCAAGAACAGTTGCTAGGATCCAAGAATTAGGGCAGGAGGCCAGGAGAGTGCCTGACCTGACCTGCCTGCCTGGTCCCAGGCCAGCCAGCTTCGGACACGCACTGTTCGAGGCACAAGGGGACCTGTCTGGGAGGAGACGCTCACCTATCATGGTTTCACTCGCCAGGATGCTGGACGGAAGACCCTGAGGTGAGGACCCAGATCAGGCCACCAGTAGGGAGGCAGGGGGCAGGACTTGTATGACCAGGAGTGACCTGGGTGGCCACCAGGTTATGTGTGTATGAAGACTCACGGCTGCGGCGCCGAGCAACCCCCTTAGGGGAGCTACGAGTACCCCTGAGGAAGCTGGTGCCAAACCGAGCCAGGGGCTTTGACATCTGTCTGGAGAAGCGGAGACTGGTGAGTGCGGTTGGGTCTCCAAGGCCAGAACCCATGTAGTGAGAATGGGGTACGGGACCAGGACAATATCTACAGAAGTGACCTAGTGCTCTGCTTTTTCAGACCAAGAGGCCCAAGCGTCTGGACACAGCCCGTGGCATGTCTCTGTATGAGGAGGTAGGAGAACTTGACTGTGCAGATATGAAGACAGACAGGCCTAGGTGGCCCAGGCTGGGATCAGGTGTGAGCTGGACAGGGTCCCTGCCCTTAAAGGCATAGAGGAATTTGGGTCCATTGCTTTCGTACGTTCTATGAGGCCTCAAGAACTGGCTGGGCAGGGTGATGGTGACTCTCTTGTATGGTAACCTGGAGGTGAGGAACCTTAGGAAAGACCTGCAGAGTTCCTAGAGGATAGGTAGGCAGAGACCCAGCAATCTAGGCGCAGAGCCTGAGAGGTGGTCCTTGTGGCCAGAGGTGGGAGGACGGGACAGGGTAGAATAAACGTTCAAGTCACTTGTCTGCCAGTGGTGTCAGCACTGGAGACAGCTTTGGGTGTGCCTGCCGGGAGGCAGTGAAGGTGACCCGGGCTTACTCAGCCCCATCTGAGATCCTGCCCAGAAGCCACCCTCCACCTGCTCCTGTCAACACAGAATAGGTGCACTGCCCCCTAGTGGAGGCCCAAGTTTCTGCAGTTGCCTATTAGCTAAGCCCAAGCCTTTGAGTCCCACATAGTAGACACCACTAAGAACCTGGAAACAGTCACTGCCAATCCCAGAGCCTGTGTGCAACTGTGCCCTGGCAGAGAGCACTGCTGCATTACTGGGCACTGCCAATGACAAGAAGTCTGGATCTCTGCTGTCAATCCACCCGCGTCTAAAGAACGTGGCAAAGGACATTAGTAACATGGTCTACCAGGCAGTAGTTGTGGAAATGGCTTAAAAGGTAAGAGACCTGCCCCTCCCCGATGACAGCCTCCCAGAGCTACTTCCATTGCATGGGAACAAGCCTCTTAGAAAGCCCCTGGCATGACTGTGACAGCCATCAGTTCTCTTAGTTGACCGGATAGAGATGTGAGCAGCAAGCCCTTCCCTTTCTTGGGTTTTGGAAGGTACAGATCTCTGAGTGCCAGTAAAGGTCTCTTCACGGGGTACTGGTAAAATGGCTATTTAGGGAAATAAACTTGACAGCCTGGTTTCTCTACAGCCATTTGTGCCCTCACGCACTGGGGACCGGCCCCTGTAGGTGGGGGCTTCAGACTGACAGGGTCTGACTGTAGCTCACATCTGCAGGAGGGGATGGAGGCAGAGACATCTGGAGAGGAACGTGGGCGCATCCTACTGTCCCTGTGCTACAGCTCCCAGCGCGGTGGCCTGCTGGTAGGGGTGCTGCGCTGTGCCCACCTAGCCCCCATGGATGCCAATGGCTACTCAGACCCCTTTGTCCGTCTGTGAGTACAAACAGGCAAATGGGCATGAAGGGTGAGAACCCTTGGCTCTGCAGGGCCACAACTAACTAGCTCACCTCTCCCTTCAGTTTCCTGCATCCAAGTTCTGGAAAGAAATCCAAATATAAGACCAGTGTTCGGAGAAAGACCCTGAACCCTGAGTTCAATGAGGTGGGTCACACCGGGAGAACCCGGTCAAGTGTGGTCTCGATTTAACAAACCAGGCCCTGCCTGAGCCTGTTTCTTTTTTTTTTTTTTTTTGGTTTTTACGAGACAAGGTTTCTCTGTATTGTTTTGGAGGCTGTCGGTCCAGTCTGGCCTCGAACTCACAGAAATCCTCCTGCCTCTGCCTCCCGAGTGCTGGGATTAAAGGTGTGCGCCACCACCGCCCGGCTCTGAGCCTGTTTCTAAAGCTGCAAAGAACTCACTTCCTTTTCCTTCCTGTCTCTTCCCTACAGGAATTCTTTTACGCAGGTCATCGGGAGGAGCTGGCCCAGAAGGCACTGCTGGTGTCTGTGTGGGACTATGACCTGGGCACAGCTGATGATTTCATCGGTGAGCACAAACACAGGGTGCTGAGGGGAGCCTCATGAGCTTCTGCTGGCTACTGACCCGTCCCTGTCCCTCTGCAGGTGGGGTACAGTTGAGTAGCAGAGCCAGCGGGGAGCGCCTTCACCACTGGCGTGAGTGCCTGAGCCGCAGTGACCGCCGGCTGGAACTGTGGCACCTGCTGGACAGTGTGCCCCCCCAACTTGGTGACTAGCCTGTACAGGGCCCTGCTTGCCGCCTGTGCAGGGGCCAAGATGTCTGCTGCAGCTGGAAAGAGCTGTAGGTTGGCCCTACCTGCTGTGCCCACTCCTGTATCCTTTCAGTCACCCTACTCCCAAACACAACGCAAAATAAACATCTGCTTCTGCCAGCAGGAGCCTGTCCTTTCTCTAGGAGCATCCGCCTCGACTCTGCCCTCACCTCACAGGACAGTCAAGGCCCACATTCTCCTGTATCCAACCCCTTAGAGCAGTGGTTCTCAACCTTCCTAATGGTACAGCCCTTTGATACAGTTTATGGTTGGTGACCCCCCAACCATAAAATTATTTTGTTGCCTCTTCATAACTAATTTTGTTGTACTGTATGAATTGTAATATAATTATCTGATATGTGACCCCCTCAAAGAGCCATGACCCACAAAGCTAAGAACCACTGCCTTAGAGGCTGCACTAGGCCAGATTCAGGACTGGGGACAAAGCTCAGTGGCAGCAATGCTCACCCAGCATGCCCAAAGCCCTGGGATGGATCCCTACTGTCACAAAACAGAAAAGTAGGCCAAGCCCTGCCTTCACCTCCCCACCCCATCCTGCTTCTCTTGTCCAGTGAAAAGCGAAGTCACAGACAAGCCATGACTGGAGAGTGGGCAGCACTTGTTTATTGTCTGGCTTCCCAAAGGGATGTGAAATTATCAGGTACGCGCTCAGGAGGCTGCATGCTGGGCCTGGTGCTGCTGTGCGAACCGTTGCATCCGCTCCTCCAGCTCTGGCCGGAAGTGTCGGATCAGACCCTGGGAAGGAAAGGGAGGTACAGCATGAACCCGAGTTCCAAATTCCCAAGGCTCTGGGTTCTTAATGCCACCCACCTTAGTGTCACACAGCAGAGCAGTGTGTACCTGTACTGGCCAGGCGGCCCCATCACCCAGAGCGCAAATGGTGTGGCCCTCTATCTGCTTGCTGATCTCCCAGAGGGAGTCGATCTCAGCTGGCCGGGCATCCCCCTTCACAAAGCGGGCCATCACTTTGTTCATCCAGTCGACACCTGCAGCACAGCAGCAAGAAGGGCCTGAGGCTCTCCCATTAGGGAGGAGGACAACACTGAAGGGGCACAGGCCTCATGGGGGAAGGTTAAGAACAGCCCAGCAACCAAACCCCAGCCTTTCCAGGAAGCTCACCTTCACGGCACGGGGTACACTGGCCGCAGCTCTCATGCTTATAGAACTCAATGAGACGAGCGATGGCTTTCACAATGTCTGTCTAAGAGACGAGGAACAATGCAACACCTTAGCCTCCCACAACACCCCTGGACTGGGTTCCAGTGTTCCGGCCCAGACTTTCCCACTCTACTGGGACCTCAGGCTATAAGAACTGGGACGGGAGGGAGTAACACCAAGGCTGGCGGGAGGACTGTGGGGCATGTGCTATTACCGAGCGATCCATGACAATCACTGCAGCTGTGCCCAGGCCTGTCTGGGCCTGCACCAGTGCATCAAAGTCCATCAACACCGTCTCACACACAGACTTAGGGATCAGCGGAGTGGATGAGCCACCAGGAATCACAGCAAGGAGGTTGTCCCAGCCACCTGTGACACCACCTGTGACAATTCCCAAAAGAATTATGGCTAAGCCTGGCACACCTGCCTAGGCTTAAGACAAGACCAATGTCAGGCCTTGAACCCAGGCTAGCTCCTGAGGTTTCCTCCTGTGCCCTCTCTCAGCAGCGCCCCCTCCTGGCTGGCCCCGGCTTACCAGCATGCTTCTCAATTAGCTCCTTCAGTGGCACAGACATCTCCTCCTCCACAGTGCAGGGGTGGTTGACATGGCCAGAGATGTTGAACAGTTTGGTACCTGAGTTGCGTTCTCGGCCAAAGCCAGCAAACCAGGTGCCCCCACGACGGCAGATGGTGGGGGACACAGCCACTGTCTCCACATTGGCCACAGTTGTGGGGCATCCAAACACTCCTTCAAGGAAATGAAAAGACGCTGGTGACTGGTGGCTTCCGGGGAAAGAACATGGTTTGATTTTCGTTTTTGTTTTTTTCAAGACATGGTTTCTCTGTATAGCCCTGGCTGTCCTGGAACTTGCTCTGTAGATCAGGCTGGCCTCAAACTCACAGAGATCCACCTGCCTCTGCCTCCCAGGTGGTGAATTAAAGGCGTGCGCCCCACTGCCTGGCTGAGAACATCTTTCTTTCTTTCTTTCTTTCTTTCTTTCTTTCTTTCTTTCTTTCTTTCTTTCTTTCTTTCTTTCTTTCTTTCTTTCTTTCTTTCTTTCTTTCTTTCTTTCTTTCTTTCTTTCTTTCTTTCTTTCTTTCTTTCTTTCTTTCTTTCTTTCTTTCTTTCTTTCTTTCTTTCTTTCTTTCTTTCTTTCTTTCTTTCTTTCTTTCTTTCTTTCTTTCTTTCTTTCTTGTGGTTTTACGAGACAGGGTTTCTCTGTATTGTTTTGGAGGCTGTCGGTCCAGCCTGGCCTCGAACTCACAGAGATCCGCCTGCCTCTGCCTCCCGAGTGCTGGGATTAAAGGCGTGCGCCCGGCGAGAACATGTTTCTTGCAGTGGGATGTGTCCTGTCCTGGTCTATGGCAGTTCCTAGTCTCGTCTCTTCACTCTCGTCCCACACTGCACCCAACTCCAGAGAAGCTCCTCTCCTGTTCACCACCACACGCCCAGCTCCCAGAACAGGTACTGTGAAGGAAAGTTCACTGCCAGGAGGCACTGGTGGAGTCTGTTATCAACACCTTCCCCTATCAATCTGTCCTCCCCTCCAAAGGGCACAGAGAAATACGGTAAGAAGCACCCAGAGGGTACCTGGTCAGATCAGGCTCCCACAGGGTCTTACCCACATCTGCTGGAAAGGGCGGCTTCAGGCGTGGCTTTCCCTGCTTGCCCTCAATGGACTCAATGAGCGCTGTCTCCTCTCCACAGATATAGGCCCCAGCCCCGCGCACCACAAACACGTCAAAATCATAGTCAGAGCCGCAGGCATTCTTGCCAATCAGACCTGCCTCATAGGCCTCTCGGATAGCTACCTGTGGAACAAGTGAGAGTTCCCAAGCCCCGCCAAATCCCAAGAGTCAGCCGCCAGTCCAGGGGCCACGGACCCCTGAAGACTTCCTAGATAGACCTTTGGAGCACAAAGGAAGAACTCTGGGGTCAGGTCCCGTTGTTGGTGGATGCAGAAGTGGATCCCCCGCCCCCTGCTGGACCAGAAACTGGAGCTACCATGTAGGAATGGTTGTGCCAGCAAAGGGAGTAAGTGAGGAGCGCATGCACTGTCAGCCAACACCGTGTGCTCACCTGCAGATTGGAGGCCTCATTGTAGAACTCCCCTCGGATGTAGATGTAGGCAGCCCGGGCGCCCATGGCCCGGCCTCCCACCAGGCAGCCCTCCACCAGCTTATGAGGGTCATGGCGCATGATCTCTCGGTCCTTGCAGGTTCCTGGCTCCCCCTCATCAGCATTCACCACCAGATACTTGGGCCTGTGGGGTCCTGAACATCAGTCAGGCTACAGACCCACCAGGACCCAACTCTCAACCAAATTCCTTCTGTACTTTTTTTGAAGCCTCAAAAAAGCTGACCCTCTCTGCCCTACCTGAGGCTCTCTTCTCTCTTTGACTGATCACCAGTGACAGATTACTCACAGCCTAGTCCATCTTTGGCCAACTTTGTCTACAAGAAAAGTTTTTGTTCTCCTTAGTCCCAACACATCTCCCTGTGCTTTCCCTGGAGAGTCAGCTCTTGGTCGTAAGGATTCTTCTTCATCCTCCACCACAGCCCTGAGGTAGTGGCTGACTTTAAAAAAAAAAGTGGGGGGCTAGTGTGGTGGTCCACACCTTTAATCCCAGTACTCTTGAGACTGAGGTCAGTCTGGTCTACAGGATGGTCAGGGTTATACAGAGAAACCCTGTCTTGAAAAAGTTATTTGTTCATTATATACATTTACTGGTGGAGGTAGCATGTGCCATAACACATGTGAAGCTCAGGGAATAACTTGGGGGAGTCAGTTCTCTTTCTTCCAAGTGGGTCCTGGAGATGACCTCAGGTCACCAGCCTTGGAGGCAGGCTCCCTTACCTGCTGAGCCATTATGCCAGCCCCATGGCTAACTTTTATAACTTGCATTCTAGGTGTCAACTGAAATTGCAGGTCAAAAGCTGAACCAACATTATCTTTTAATTCCTGCATACTATACTCAGGCACAAAAAAGAAACTGCAGACTCAAAAGGGACAGATTTTCCAAAGCTTGACAATTACTAAAAGGCAAAATTGGGATTTGAATAATAATGCCTGCCTGTGTCAAAATCTTGGACTGTAATCTCTTGCATCTCTGCTGAGGAAATCCAGAGATACCTCTTAAGTTCTATCTATCCACTTACAGTCTACTAAGTCTCCCAGAATCAGCCCCAAAGCCCAGTGAGTGCTTCAGCAGCCCCTAGTCTGTCCTATGACCACAGGTACTCCCCACAAACCTGCCATCTGAGGGCTTATTCATGAAGCTCCATTTGAGGCCGGTGGGGAAGCCAGCACCGCCACGGCCCCGTAAGCCAGATGTCTTGATCTCACCCAAGATCCAGTCAGGCCCCTTCAGCAGGATCTCCTTTGTCTTGTACCAGTCACCCCGACTCTGGGCACCTTTCAGCCTGGACAGAGTAGGAAAAGATGTGAAGGAGGCTCTGCTAAGGAACTTGGCAGCTAAGGGCACTGTCTCACCTCCAGTCATGACGGCCATACAGGTTGGTGAAGATCCGGTCTTCATCCTTCAGCGAGCCAAATGAGGTTTTCTTGGGTGCTGTCTGGGGAGACAGAAGGTCAGGAGGCGGCCCAGCAGAGCTCTGTGGCCATGGATATTATGGTAAAAGCTTTACCCCTGCCCCTGGCATCCCAGGTTTTGTGAAACCTGGGTTTTTTCTAATTCAGTTTGATTTGTTCTGATTTGGATGGTTGGGAGAGGCTTATCCAGGTGTAGAAACTTTTCATTGAGGAGTTGGGGGAGAGGCTTCAAATAGCTACCTATTTCAGTGCTCCCTGTTTAGAAGTTACTGGGATAAACATTCTATACCTCATCTCAACTCTTCCTAGTAACAATCTTGAGATAGGAATGGTTTCCTCCATTTTACAAAGAAGGCATCTGAGGCCCTGAGCAAAAGGAACCGAAGGTCACAAAGCCAACAGCAGACGACCTCTGCTGAGCCCATGTCATACTACATCTATGGCTCCAACACGGCTTCCCCAAACCCAGCATCTGCCTGGCTCTTCCACTAGAGCAAAACCTGGTTAAACGAGGCTTTGACTTCCTTAACTCTGCTCAAGAGGCAATGTGTTCACTGATGGAAAGGAGCCGCCTCCCGGGGACTGGGACACTACAGGAACCAGGAGCCTACCTGAGATAAAATGGAAAGGCGTGGGCTGGAAGAGCACACGATAGCAGAAAGTGGCCTGACATTCACTCTTACATCCTAAAAGTACTTCTCAGGAGTGGCAGTGGATGCCTGTGGTCCCAGGAGCACCCCGGGAGGGACGCTGAGAGAGGCAGATCATCACTAGTTCGAATACAGGTTGGACTGCATAGTGAGTCCCTATCTCATAAAGCAAACAAAAACCACAAAACCGCTTCCTGGCCACTACCGAAAGCAGACCACTGGCTGGGGAACGAGGAGATACACATCCTTTCCAAAGCTTTTTTCTGCATTTGCAAATGGGGCAAAGATCCTGCTACCCAGTAAAGCTGCGAGAAAGAAATAACATACTAGGATGCCACAAACCCCGCAAACTCACTCTAGACTGGATAGCGTCAGCCCTGGGTTGGGACCGTTCGTTTTTACCCAGGCTAGCCGGCAGCCTGGAGCAGAGAGGACTCTGCAGAGGGGACCACAGCCCAAAGGGAGGCCCGCGTCGCGCGGACACCCCAGGCCTGAATCAGGACGGGCCTCACCGTGCCGCTGTTGAAACGCACAGATACTCGCACGGGAAGCGATCCGCCGAGAAGCTGCCGTGCCACTAGCATCGCGGGACCCAGGCGGATCACGTCCCGCTGTCACCTTCAAAACTCCGAGCCGCGGGACCAGCGCGACAGAAATGCACGGGGACGCACAGGAAGCGCGTCACACGTTTCTCCACCGGCGGCGCGCCCACGGAACCCCGCGACTTCGCGCTCCGCCCTCAGCTCCGCCTACTAAAGGGGGCGTAGACACAGAGACCGGAAATTTACTCGTGCTGGGCCTTCTGGGAGATGCAGTCCAGCTGGCCCTGCCAGTCCTTTCTTAGAGACCAAGTTCCTCTTCCAAGTAAACAAAACTCCTGTGTCGCCCTCTGCTGGATCCCGAGTATTCCACTTCCTACAAGCTCTGAGTTTAGTGTGCTCCAGCTGAATGCACGAATGCACGCTGGGAACAGAAACAGTTGAGCTAGAGCGGAATCGACCAAAACTGATGTGATTATACTGGCCCAGCGGAACCCTGTTGGACAAAGTGCTCTTTGGGCATCCATATGCTCGAGGAAGTGCCCATTAACCATAGAGCTGGATGTCTGTCTGTCTGTCTGTCTGTCTGTCTGTCTGTCTGTCTGTCTCTCTCTCTCTCTCCCTCTCTCCTTCCCTCCCTCCCCTCCCCTCCCTCTCTCTTTCTCTGTCCTCTCTGCCTCCCATGTGTATGCCACCAGACCGGGCTTTCTTTTTGGTCTTTCTCCCCATTTTAATCTTCCATTCTGGTAGGAAGGAACTGCTCTATTCTGTTGTTCTGCATGTTGTTCTGCACTCATTCTGTCTTTTAAGAAATGCACTTGCAGCCAGTGGTGGTGGTGCACACCTTTAAAATCCCAGCACTTGGGAGGCAAAGGCAGGCAGATCTTTGTGAGTTCAAGACCAGCCTGGACAGCCCAGACTATACAGAAAAATCCTGTTTTTGAAAGGAAGGAAGGAACTTGTGGTGAGGGGCTGGAGAGGTGGCTCAGTGGTTAAGAGGACTTGCTCTTGTGGAGGATCCAGGTTTGGTTCCCAGCACCAATGTGGTGCTCAAAACCATCTGTAACTCCAGTTCCAGAAGATTTGACACTATCTTCTAACTTCTGAGAGCACTAGACATCCATGGGGTGCTCATATACACATGCGGGTAAAACACTAATACACATTTTTTAAAAATCTGAAACACTAATAATTTTTCTTTTAAACAGGATCTTACTGGCCGGTGGTAGCACACAGCTTTAATCCCTTAGGAGGCAGATGGATCTCTGAGTTCGAGGCCAGCCTGGTCTATTTTATAGAGTGAGTTCCAGGAAAGCCAGGGCTACACAGAGAAACCCTGTATGTTATGTAGCCCAGGCTGGCCTCTAACTCACAACCCTGCTTCAACTTCCTGAGTGCTGGGATTACATGTGTATAACACTATGTCTGACTTAGAAATGTGGTACGTAGGAAACTGGTGTGGGCCGTTCGCTCACATACTCCTCACAATGCATGCCAGTTAAGACCTTGTTTGTTCATTTGTTTTTGTCCAACTTGGCACAAATTAGAACCATGTGAAAAGAGGGAACCTTAACTGAGGGATTGCCTCCATCAGATTGCCTATAGGCAAGCCTGTGTGAGCATTTTCTTGATTAATGATTGGCATGAGAAGGCCCAACCCACTATGGGTAGAGCCATCTCTGGGCAAGCCAGTAAGTAGTATTCCTCCATGGATTTTGCATCCATCATTTCTGCCTCCAGCATCCTACCTCTAGTTCTTGCCCTTACTTCCCTCAATGATGGGCTGTGACATGGAGGTGTAAGCCAAGCAAATCCTTTTCTCCCCAAACGTGTTTTGTGGTCATGGTGTATATTACTGAAATAGACAGGAAATTAGGGCAGTGGCCCTAAATGGTGTTAACTTCACGGGGGTGAAAAACTCTGAAGGGTTTCCTCCTTGGCTGGAGGAGCTGTACCCCAATCCAGGCTTTCCTTCCCATAGTGCTCTGCACACAGCAGATCCACAGCACTGCTGGCATGCCTGTGACAGTCACTGCATTCATCAATGCTCCTGAAAGAGCCATCAAGGTAATCTACATCCTGCCTGAAGATACACAGGCAGGCAGGGCAGACCAGGCCCCCCTTTCATGGGTAGAGAAGAAATATCTGGGTAGTGCTAGGGATTACACTGTTAATCTAGGGCTTAGACTTAAGTCTGTGAATCCTCTGGGGACAGAAGGAGGGGGAGCAGGATAGAGTCAGAGGATTCTCCACTAAGGGACAAGAGATGATGGCCATGGGAGTGAAGGAAATGGAGCATGAAGGACAGGTCCCATGTTCATCTAGGGCCAGGCTCAACTCCAAGCACTTATCATGTGTCAGTCACTTAACCCTTCCACATACAGAGCGCATGATGAACCCCGATCGCAAAAGCCAGCAGGGTAGCTGTGATGCCAAGTGGCCAACTCAGGATGGTACAGCTGCCAGTGTGCTTACCAGGCTCCTCAAATAAAGAAGGTGTGAGGCAGAGGCAGAATTGCCACACTTTCAAAACCATCTTTGTGTATGTAATGAATTCCAGGCCAACCAGTGATACATAGCAAGATCCTGTTTCAAAAAAACAGGAGGGGAGGTTGTTTGTTTGTTTGGTTGGTTAGTTGATTGGTTGGTTGGTTTTTCAAGACAGGGTTTCTCTGTAGCTTTGGAACTTGTCCCGGAACTCTCTCTGTACATCAGGTTGGCCTCAAATTCACAGAGATCTATCTGCCTGCCTCTGCCTCTTGAGTGCTGGATTAAAAGGCATGAGCCACCACTGCCCAGCTGTTTGTTTTTGAGGAGGCAGCTGGAGTTGTCCCTTAGCTTGCCTACCTTGCTCAAGGCCCTGCCTTTGACCCCAGTAAAGAGAGGAGTGTGTGTGCATGTGAGACGGGGTGGGGGCAGAGAGACACACAGAGGTCTGTAAACTAGCTGTGCAGTCTCACACCTTCCAACTCTTGGCCGACTAAGGCAAGATTGCCATGAGTTTGAGGCCAAGTTAGGCTAGAAAAATACCTTCTTAAAGGTCCACTCTGGTGTCACCTCCTAAGCAGGCTCCTCTGGGGTGCTCTCTCCTTCCTCAGCCTGTTCCTCCTGTGTCATTATCTGTGTATCTGTCTTCTGTCTGCAGGAATCATGAGGGATGCCGGCTGTTCCACACCCAGGGTCCTTTCCATACACCCCTGATTGATGTCCACAAGCCCTTTCTCACAGCCAAGGCTTTTTATCTGCCACCTGGAAATTTTATAGTCCCACAAGAGCCCCTGTCCCACTTTTTAGATGCTCCGATTCATTCTTTGTAAGCATGGAGCCAGCAGAAACATTATAAATCCCGGGCCTGTGTATTCCCTGCCCTCTTCCAGAAACTGTTCATGGTTCTCCACTAACTTAGGACTAAACTCAAAATTCCTGTATCCGACCAGCATTCAAGGCTCCAAGGCTCCAGCTTCAACTGCCCTTTCTGGACAGTTGGCAAATACCAGGGATCTGTTAGTCCCTTTGCCCCTTTCTTCCTCTTCCTCCTCCTGAGGAACCCTGTGATGCCATCATCTCCAGGAAGCTTTCTTCATCCAACAGGACCAACTATATAGAACAACCCTTGTCCTGGGCCCAGTGGGGTAAAAGCCTGAGTGACAGGAACTTCTCTTTTCTTTGGCCCCCAGAATAGAGTTAAAGAAAATGCTTATTTCATACCATAACTGATTTTATATTTCAAAAATTAAAAGTAAACTTTCTTTCATTGTAAATGTACAAAATGTAGAGAGCAGAGGGGTTGTATTCCAGTGCTCTTTAAACCAGGTATGGTTGTCCATGCCTTTTATCTCTGCTCTCAGGAGGTAGCAGATAGAGGTCAGAGGAGCGGGAGTTCAAGATCATCCTTGGCCATATAGCAAGTCAGAGGCTGAACTGTGTTGCATGACACCCTGTCTCAAAAAGAAAAGAAAAGAGATGGAAAGGAAAGAAAAGGAAAGGAAAGGAAAGGAAAGGCCAGGAGGTGATGGCATACACCCTTAATCCCATCACTTGGGAGGCAGAGGCAGGCAGTTTGAGGCCAGCCTGGTCTACAGAGGGAGTTTCAGGACAGCCAGAACTACACAGAGAGACCATCTTGAACCCCCCCCCAAAAACCACTTTACAATAGCACATGGGTTCAATGACCCAAAAATTTTAGCACTTAACATAAATAACTAAACCTTGCCCACTATCCTGGAGCCAAATGTTTTTGAATCTGATATATTTATGACCACCAGCAACTATGCAGCTTGCTGACTCTTGTTTTTTTGCAGCCCAGCCTGGCCTCAAACTCATTATAAAACCAAGGGAGACTTTGGGCTTCTCTTTCTCCTGTCTTTACCTCCCAATTGCTGGGTTTCCAGGCATGTGCCACAACAGCTTATTTTATCAGAGCTGGGACTTGAACCCAAGGCTTCACGCATGTTAGATGGGCCCTCTGCCAACTGAGATCCATCTGCCCCTTGGTAGAGAGGTCATGTTTAGGAACCTCTGTCAGGAGCACAGCTTTATCTTGAAGGATATTTGGTGGCTGGCACCTGGGTCAGCCTTGCAGCTTTCTTTGATAATCTGTGGTTATTACCCCCACCACTTTGCCCATTATTGAAGGGGGATGCTGTGTGAGGCTGTTGAGAGCAGTGTCTGAAGCCAGTCAGGGTTAATCCTCAGCTCCTCTGTGGCTTTGTACAAGTTCCTTGGCCTCTTTGTGCCCTGAAGTGTGGTCACATTCATTAACTGTTTTCATCCTTGAGGCTTTTGAATAGGAGTGGGCACACGGTATATGCACAGACCTGTTAGCTGTTTTCATTTGTTTTGCTTTGTGATAGGGCTTCATGTGGCTCAGGCTGGCCTCAAACTTGAATATGTAGCTCAGGATAAACCTGGACAGCCAGCATTCTTGACTTCTGAGTGCTGGCATTACAAGTGTGCCTCTCCACACTTAGCTGGTTTTTATGTATTAATCTTTGTTTGTTTGTTTGTTTTTGAGACAGGGTCTCACTACATCCTGGAACTCACTATGTAGACCAGACTGGCCTTGAATTCACAGAGATTACCTACCTCTGCCTTCCAAGAGTCATAACTAAATTTCATTTCACAGCTAGATACGATGAATCAGGACACAGACAGAAGGCAGCTGAGTCCTGCATCCGGCAGAAACAGGCCTCTCTTCTGGAGGAAGTGGGAAGAAAGCCAGCAGCAGGTGCCACACCTAGCCCAGCCCTGTGTGCTCGGCCAGTTGTGCTGCTTCACATAGCCTGGTCACAGGTGTCAGCCCCCACCTGGCTGGGCGTCCTGCACCATCCACATCCCTCTTTGTCTTCTGTTTTCTCCTGATCACCATGGACATCATCTGCAGTTTTGTCGTGTGTGTGTGTGTGTGTGTGTGTGTGTGTGTGTGTGTGTGTGTGTGTGTGTGTGTGTAGGTGGGTACACAGTCTCTGACTGAGACAGGTCACCGGTACATTACACTTTAGCCACTGCTTCTGCTGTGTCCCTAAAGCCAGTCTGAGTTCAGAACTGAGAATTTGATAGTAAAATGTGTATGGAACAAAGAGCCAAAAATGACCAAGGTATTTCTTTATCGATACAAAAATGGAATCCAGGGCCTGTCGCATGCGATGCAAGCACTCTACCACTGACTCTGCCCCCAGTCCCTCCTCGGTGGATCCTATGCACCGCTCTGCCATGAGTCACACCTCCAGCTATGGCCAGGTTAATCTTGAATAACAACATGAAATTATAGTGTTTCAGAGAGACACATAGCCAGCCAGCTAGAGCAGCTGAGACGGGTAGGCAGCGATCCTGATGGAGACTCATTTTATTTTAGTTTTTTATGTGTATGAGTGCTTAGCCCGTATGTATGTATACGCACCACATACGTGCTCATACCTGTGGAGGCCAGAAGAGGACATCACATCCCTTATAACTGGAGTTACAGATGGTTCTGAGCCACTCTGTGGGTGTTGGAAATTGAACCTGGGTCTTCTGCAAAATCAGCCTGTGCTCTTAACCGCTAAGCCACCCCTCCAGCCTCTGACAACAGTTTGTTTTGTTTTTTATCATAATTTTCTGAATGTTCTGCAGCCTCAGCTTTGCTGTCTTCTTTATTAGGAATCTTTTCCCCCCTTCTCAACCTGAGATACATAGCATGACACTGTTTCATACAAATAAAAACAAGACTGTGGAGGGCCCTAATTAAGGATAGCATTGCCCTGGCCTGTGGGGTCAGTCAACGGGGACCCTAGGGGAGGAAGGGAGAATGAGGGACAAGAGATGCGAGAGACGGAGACAAGACAGGATTCTGATCAAGTCTCGTTTATTGAAAGTACCAACAGGGCTTAAGTAGGGCAGGTAGCAGAAGGGCAGGGGAGCAGAAGTTTTCCTTGGCAGGGTATGTTCCAAGGACACAAGTCTGCAGCTGGGGGAGTCTGGACGGCAGGCCAGGTGGCAGAAGGGTGTGAGAGCCTGGACTGCAGGCCTTGAAAATGTGCTGTACAGGAAGACAAGCAGGCACAGAGAAACAGAAACTTAACTAAGTGTTAGTCTCTAAGAATACAGTAGGAATATTAAGTTGGCTTTTATTATGCTATGTGGAGAGCCCTAAATAAGGATAGCATAATAAAAGCCATCTTAATATTCATACTGTATTCTTAGAGGCTAACAGTTAAGTTTCCATTTCTCTCTGTCTGCTTATCTTCCTGTACAGCACATTTTCAAGGTCTGCAGTCCAGACTCCCGCAGCTGGAGACTTGTGTCCTTGAAACACATTCTGCAATGGAGAACTTCTACTTCCCCGCCCTTCTGCAACCTGCCCTGCAAAAGCCCTTTTAATAAACGAGACTTGATCAGAATCCTGTCTTGTCTCCATCTCCCGTGTCTCTTGTCCTCTCATTCTCCCTCCCTCCCCTAGGGTTCCGGTTGGCTGACCCACAGGCCGGGACACAAAACAGGGCTGGTAAGATGGCTCACTGGGTAAAGGCACCCACTACCAAGCTCACTCCAGACCTGAGTTCAACAACTCCTAGAGCTCATGTAGTGGAAGGAGATATCCTTTTCAAGTAGCCCAGGCTGGCCTCACTCAATATGCAACTGAAAATGACTTTTAACTTCTTACTGCTTACACCTCCCAACCACTGGATGACAAGCGGTCTCCACCATGCCCAATTTTTGTGGTACTGGGAACCCAGAGTCTCATGCACACTAGGCAAACACTATCAACTGAGCCCCATCCCCAGCCCTTAGATGTTATTCTTCCCTCACACCCCTTGAAACAGGTTCTTAGTATACATTCCTGGATGACCTTGAACTCACAGATATCTGCCTACCTCTACCTCCTCAATGCCCCATCACAGCTGGTTTGGGTGTCATTTACTTATTCATTATTTTTTATTTATTTATGTTTTCTTTGTAACTGAAATTTTAATCCCAAGGAGTCTCACAAACATATTACAAATGACAGCATGAAAAGGAAATCTTTCACAGTAACTCGCAGGTTCAGTCCTACAATGTACCCTTACACTGATAGAACACTGGTAACTTAGTCTTCCATTTAGGAATAAAGAATGTTACAGCTTTGCGTCCATATGTAGCAATCAGTAAGGAACCTCTGAAAGCCTTCAGGGTGCAGTTTCCACGTTTACCTGTTAGCTGGTGTTCACTAACAGCTTTTAAAGACTGCCTGTCACTTTACCCACAGATCCACACCGTATCCTAGCTTCTAGACAAACTAGAGCTTTATTCCATTCCCACAGGTGGTTTCTATATCATTTAGCCCATCACAATTTAACTGGGCAGGATCTAGGTTTATTTCAGTCTATGAAGAACTAAAGTTCAACACAAATTTGAACAGCTAAAACATCTTTAAAATGCACCAAGATTATGAAGTCTCAAACAAAACTTGAATTTCCTGTAATACTCGTGTCAAATGAAGTTATTTCCTGTACACCACTTCGTTAGCAGACTGGCCTTATACTTCCTTTCATGTGACCTAGATTGATTGGCTACAAGACCTAGAGAAGGATCGAGATGGCTTGAGGTTTCTCTCACGAGACAGAGACCTTTCTCTTCTCCTGTCTCTAGAAAATGACCTGCTCCGGGTTGGAGGGAAGCTTCTTCTTGGAGATCTTTGCCGAGGTGGAGGACTCCTCCTACGGTAATCATCTCGAGGGCATCGACCCCAAGAGGGAGGTGGGCCACGACTGAGACTTCTTTTTTCACCATTCGACAGTTCTACTCTCACACGGCAGCCACATAGTGTTCCGCAATCCAGCTGTCGGACAGCATCAGCGGCATCTCCGGGATCCTCAAATTCAACGAAAGCAAAGCCAGGAGGGTTCCGAGCAACCCACACACTTCGATGTGGTCCATAATAGCCAAAAGTGCGCTGTAGTTCAGTCTTGCTCCCACTGTTTCCAAGATTGCCTACATACACTTTACAATCTAATGGACAGGACTCACGATGCATTTTGAGATCCTGGGTTCAAACACCGAAGCTCAAATGCCAACATTCCGACAGGCCCACCCGCGTTCTTCGAGATCTGCTTAGGCAGATGTTCTCCACTCCCTGGTGTCCACAAAATGGCATATTTATGTTTTTTGAGACAGGGTTTTTCTATGTAGCCCTGGTTGTCCTGAAGCTCACTCTGTTGACAAGGCTGGCCTCAAACTCAAAGGTTGCCTTCCTCTGCCTCCAGAATGCTGGGATTAAAGCTTGTACCACCCCTGTCCAGTTTTTCTGTTTCTTTTTTAATGACTTATTTGTTTTTATTTTATGTGCATTGATATTTTGTCTGCACATATGTCTGTAAAGATGTCAGATCCCCAGGAACTGGAGTTACAGACAGTTGTGAGCCACCATGTGGGTGCAGGGAATTGAATCAATGTCCTATTGAAGAGCAGTCCATGCTTTTAACCACTGAGCCATCTCTCCAGCCCCTGGGTCATTCTTAAATGTTATTTTATAAAGGTAAAAATGCTAGAATTACTTGTTGCTTGGCTTTGTTATTTTTAGTTTCATTGTTTAATAATAAGCAATCGTTGCCTATACTCTTTGCTATCTGGAATATTCTACAACTCTTCTGGAAGCATGATAGATGATTATTGTAAAGAATGTTCTAGAGCAATTGAAAGGATGATGGTTTTCCTACTGTATTTTGAAGCCTGTGTTTAAACTCTAAAATCTCTTCATTAATTTTTGTTTGTTTATATTATATCCGTGTATCTATGTATTTTCTATGTGTGTATCTATGCATGCCCGTACATATGTTTGTATGTATGTATGTATCTGTCTGTCTGTCTGTCTGTCTCTGTGTGGGCATGTGCATGCCATGGCACATGTGTGGAGGTCAGAGGACAATTTTCTTTTTTTTTTTTTTTTAAAGATTTATTTATTTGTTACATATACAGTGTTCTGCCTACAAGCCGGAAGAGGGCACCAGATTGAATTGTAGATGGTTGTGAGCCACCATGTGGTTGCTGGGAATTGAACTCAGGACCCCTGGAAGAGCAGTCAGTGCTCTTAACCTCCGAGCCATCTCTCCAGCCCCCCAGAGGACAATTTTCAAGAGCCAGTTCTTTGCTTCTACCATGAGTGCTAAGGGATTAACCTGGGTCTCAGACTCGTCAGCAGGCATGCTACCCTGGCCCTGTTTGTCCTCATGTGTTTGAGACTAGGCCACTGTGTAACCCAGGCTGGTCTCTAGCTCACCCTCTTCCACAGCCAGCCTGGTGAGTACGAGGACTCAGGAGTGCTCAGTAACACCCAGCTTCCCTTCGAGCCTCTGGTTTGTGAATTCTTGGCATGCAGTTTGGTGCTGGAAGCTCTCGACTGCATTGCTTCACATTTTCTTTCATGAGAAGATGACGCTTTGGTTCTTGTGGGTTTTGTGGTTTGGACAGGTCAATGGGAGGTCAGCCTCCTGTGTGGGAGATTGCAGGCTTTCCTCTGACTAACCATCTCTGCTAATCTTATACACAACAATAGCCTGATGCAGAGGAAATCCTCAACTGTGATGGGTCACTTGGGGCCTTGTTTAAAAAACACATCCCAGGCCTAAGGTCCCTGCAAGGGCATTGTCTTTCACTGTTACTGTTTCTTTCTTTATGCATTTTTTTTTTGGTTTTTCGAGACAGGGTTTCCCTGTGGCTTTGGAGGCTGTCCTAGAACTCGCTCGGTAGACCAGGCTGGTCTCGAACTCACAGAGATCAGCCTGCCTCTGCCTCCTGAGTGCTGGGATTAAAGGCGTGCGCCACCAACGCCCAGCTTCTTTATGCATTTTGAGATGGGAGTCTCACTATGTAGCTCAGGCTGGCCTTGATCTTGGAATCCTCCTACTTCTACCTCCCTGGTGCTGGGATTACAGGTAACAACAATCTACTGGCAATCTGACCGGCTGCCTCTTGCCCCTGCCACTGTGACGTCCCCATTGTGATGGACTGGGTACCCTTGAACTGTAAATCAAAATAAACCCTTCCTTAAGTTGCTTTTGTCAGGACATTTTGTCAGAGAAAACTTAACTAACACAAGGGATATGATGTCTTCTATCTGTCCTGTGGAAGCCCTTCAGTCACTCCCTCTGAACTGCCCCCTTCCCAGGCAATGCAACAGCTCACCCCCTTCCTCAGAGAAGCCAGAAGTCAAAACACTTTTGAACTTGTTTGAAAGTCACCCTTTGCTGGGCGGTGGTGGCGCACGCCTTTAATCCCAGCACTCGGGAGGCAGAGGCAGGCGGATCTCTGTGAGTTTGAGGCCAGCCTGGTCTACACGAGCTAGTTCCAGGACAGCCTCCAAAGACACAGAGAAACCCTGTCTCAAAAAACCAAAAAAAAAAAAAAAAAGAAAAAGAAAGAAAGAAAGTCACCCTCCCCCAAAATCCCTGTCACCTCCTGCTTTGCTTTTCCGTGTCCTAAAGGTCATCATGTGGGATGGTTAGTGCTAATTGTTAACTTCACAGAATCTAGAGTCACCCAGGAGATAGTCTCCAGGCATGCCTGTGGTGACTTACCTATTTAGGTTAATAGAGATGGAAAGACGCATCCTAACTGTGGACACGCCCATACCCTGACAGGAAATTCTGGACTATGTAAGGGGAGGGCAGGGAGGGGGACTGTGAGCTCACGTGCATCCCCTGTCTTCCAGACTGTGACTGAGATGTGACCGACTCCTTCATGCTATGATGCCTTAGCTTCCCAGCCACGATGGACAGTGATGGAAAACCAACCCTTCTCCCTAAGTCACCTTTAGCACAGTGACAGGAAAAGAAACTAAGACACTGGATCTTCACTCCCACGAGTTCTGGGTTCCACGGGACGGTCCTTGTCAGTCTTGGTTGCTTCTTAGCTGTTCATTGCTCCGGGTGCCCTGTGCCCTCTGCTGTTCAGCCCTGGGAAGCCAACTGTGTGTCAGTGAACACATGCTGTTAGAGCCCTGCCTTTGCCTCTCTCCTTCCCTCTGGACTTCACCAGACAACGCTCCCCTTTCCTTATATTGTCACAGCTTTACCTGCCACATGCAATACATATTCTCAACTCTTCCACTATTTCTCATGTGTGCTACCCTATAACAGACCGCCAAACTCTTTCTCTTCTCATACTTATATCCTGGATGTAGTAATATCTTTTTTAGTTTTTTTTTCCTGAAGAAAATTATTAATGTTGACGTGGAGGTTTGTCTCCACTGTCTCTTTTTCTCGGCTTATTTTCCTCCTTCCACGTTACAGAGCGCTCCTACATCAGCTGCTCTCTGTCACCTTGAGAGCACATGGGAAGCCAAGTCCTTTTTCCTTTTTAATTTTATTTGTATGGGTGTTTTGTCTGCATGTATGTCTGTATACCACTTATGTGTCTGGTGCCTGTGGAGGCCAAAAGAGGGCATCAGATCCCCTGGAGCTAGGGTTGCAAATTGTGAGCCACTACATGGGTGCTGGGAATTAAACCCAGGTCCTCTGGAAAAGCAGCCAGTGCTCTTAACTGCTCAGCCACCTCTCAGTCCTGATATTATTTCAGTTTTGATCCACCTTACCTGAATCTAAAGGCCTACCTATGGCAATATGGGCTTCGGTCATTTCCCCGCCCTCCTGGGCAATGTCTGGTGCTGTCTCCAACTATTTGTATACCTGGGTTTTGCCAAGTTGTTCGGGCATCCCACCTTTATGCACCATCCACAGTTGTTCTGCTATCATAAGCAGCCTCTATAAATGTGCTCGGCCACGGCCATTCCTGTGCTCGGCAACAGCCATTCCAGCCCAGTCCCACCACTGGTGGCACTGGGCAGACCTTCCCAGCCAGAATGCTAATGTTTCTTTCATGGCTCTCTAGCAGCAAGCCCTGTAAGGCTTCATTTTGTCACAATGAAGTTTTTGTTTTGTTTCTAATAGACAGAGGAGGGCATTTGGTGTCTAGATGGGCTGCGGTATGTGGGGTCTGCCTTTGGGCCAACAGTGGCTTCTGGCCCTAGGAAAGCCTCCTCCTCAGAGATATGTGCTTTTTTCCCTTCAGGCTGCTTGAAGGAGGCCCCTGTAGCCTTTTCTTCTCTCCAGCTATTCCTGGGAGCACTGAGGGACACACCCTGCTGGTCCCTGCAGCCCCGATCTGCTCACACCCAGTGCCTGTTTTGACCTGGCCTCCCTCTGTGCTGACTACCCTATCCATTCACCACTTTTATCCCTTTCCCTCCTCCATCGTTCGACAAAAAGGTGCCAAGAGGGGCAGTTGGGAACTGGGATTGCCCAGTTATGATGTTCAATTCTACCTGTTAGTTTGGCTGAGCTGTGGGATGGATAGATACATGAACAGTGTTACTGAACACTCTATAAGGGTGGTTTTGTAAGGGACTAGCACTTGAATCTGAAAAGGAGATGGGTGTTGTGTTGGGTGTTCAGTTCACACGGGTCTATGGAAGAAACAGGGCCACTCTAACCAGATCAAAAACCAGTCCAAGCATTTGACAAGTTCTTAATACTCTTTCAGTGAGCCTCTGTACTAGACTTATTACAGGAGACTCTTGCTATTGCCTCGACAGCTTCACCTGTGTCCACAGCTGGCCTTGCTCTAAGGATGTGTATAAACTTTCAGAGGTGACATTAAAGACATACCAAAATTAACACAGGTATTGTTAGGAATAAGAAAAATGGATTGGCTGGGCGTTGGCGGTGCACGCCTTTAATCCCAGCACTTGGGAGGTGGATCTCTGTGAGTGAGAGACCAGCCTGGTCTACAAAGAGCTAGTTCCAGGACAGCCTCCAAAGCCACAAAGAAACCCTGTCTCGAACTCCCCCCCCAAAAAAAATGGGTTGGGACTGCAGGTGGCAGGTCCCCCCATTCCCGGGAGGGGTGATGGATGGAGGGCAGATAGGGCTGTAGATGTGACTCATATTGAAAGTTTTATTGAATGAGGTAAAAAAAGAGATAAAGAGATACAGAGAGAAGACAGAAAAGAAGAGGGAGACAGGAAAAGTCCTGTATGGC